GAGAGAGGGGGAGAGAGAGAGAGAGAGAGAGAGAGAGAGAGAGAGAAAGAGAGGGAGAGAGGGAGAGGGAGAGAAAGAGAGGGAGAGAGGGAGGAGGGAGAGAGAGAGAGAGAGGGAGGGAGGGAGGGAGGGAACTGTGGGGCTGGGAAGAGCCAGACAGAAAGAATGCCAGCAGGGGCCTGGCCCAGGGTGGCGGTGGGGGGGGGGGGCCTCGAGCCAGGCTCGGGTGGACCCACGTCTGCCATGCATGACTGTTCACACGTGGAGGGTCACAGGCCCTCCACACAGCACCCCACAAGTGCTCCGGGGTGTCTGCAAGCAAGATGTAGTGCTAAACCCTGAGCCCCCAAGGAACTAACCAGGACTTGCCCAAAACCACAGGCTCTGGGTTCCTCCCAGTAGCTGATGGCTCTGGAAGCCGAGCTGGGGTCCCTCAGAGGTGGCCCAGATCAGCCCTCGCGTGGGCTGAGTCCTAGGCAGCAGTGAGTCCCACACAGACCCCTCTCAGAAACCATGCATACTTCCACGGCCCAGGCCCCCCCCCCATCCCAAGCCCACTGTCCCTCTGGGCAGCAGAAGTTTTAAAAGTAAAAAGAAATAGTCAAATTAGTTTTTAATTTTAATTTTTGGCAGTCCTGGAGTTTGAACTTGCCAGGCAGGTGCTTTACCGCTTGAGCCATGCCTCTAGCGCTCTGGTTATTTTTGAGATGGTGTCTCACTTTTTGTCCAGGTGGCCTGAACCTTGAGCCTCCTGTTTATACCTCCTACATAGAGGATGTCAGGTTCACAGCTCCAAGCCCAGATCTCTGTTGACATGGGGGGTCTCACTTTTTTTTTTTTCCCTAGGCTGGCTCTAAACTCTGATCTGCCCAAGTACCTAGGATTACAGGAGTGAGCTACCAGGCCCATTTTAGCTAATCCATCCGGATTATTGATAATTATTTTCTTCTGTGCTGAGTGTCTCTCAGCCTGGCCCTGCCCTCGGGCCTTTCCAGAGCTCAGCTGCCCTGTGTGAGGGGTTTGTCTGTTTCATGGGGCCTGTGGTAACCACTAGCCCAGGGACACCCCAGTACCAGCAACAGGACCCCAGGACTTAGAGGAAGGTGTCTGGAATCCAGAGGTGGAGCGAGAGGCTGGGGGGGGGGGGAGCCGGGAGGGTGTGGAGCTAGGGAGGGAGGCACTCGGGCCAGAGCAGTGGCAGCGACAGCCAGGCGGGGGCAGGAGAGAGCTTCTCCGCAGCCCCGTGGCCGGCGCCTCCGGAGGCTGGCGGGAAGAGATTTTCTGTTGAACTTGCACAGCACCCCAGCGTCTCTTGGGTCGTTGGGAAGAAGCAAAGGAAAGCAGAGGCTCTCAGAAGGCTGGCAGCGTTTTGCACGCAGAAAGCGCCAGCTGTTGGGGGGGGGGGCGGGGACGCGGCAGGTGGGGCCTGGTGACACCGCTGGACTTTGACCTAGAGACATGCTGTGCTGGGGTCGTCGAGCCCAGGCCGGGGCTGCACAGATCCCCAGGGACACCAGGTGTGGGATGGTGGAGAAACGAGCACCGTTTTGGGAGTCTGACAGACCGGGCTCTGATGCCCCCCCCCTCACCGCGCTGGATCTCTGAGCCCCCTCCATCCCACGGGGGCCCGTGGGCATCGGCACCTTGCCTGGATGCTCGTTAAGTGGAGCGAGGTGGGGAGGGAAGGGGAACACCGGGGACCCAGCACACCAGGCCTGCCTGCTGCTCCCCTCCCCAGCCCCGCAGCCCGGCTACCACAGACCGATGGAGTGGGGGGCGCCTGGGGGTGGGTAGGACCTGGGCAGGCAGGGGGAGGGCTCCTACCCCGAAGGAGATGTAGGCGCCCAGCAGGCTGCCGGCGATGGTGGCGTAGCCCCCCACCATGACGGCGTGCACCTCCGACCGCGTCATGTCCCCCAAGTAGGGCTGGATCAGCAGAGGAGCCTCCGTCTACAGATAGGAAAGATGGCGGCCCAGCCGGGCTGTGGACCCCCCCACCCCCGCCTGGGGCAGGGGTCCCACGGGCCCGCCCTGGAGCCGCACTGCCATCCGATCCTGGCATGTGGGCACCCGGGCCTCGCTCCCCACACCCTTCGAGACCCAGGAAAGCCAAGGGGGCTGGAGCAGGGGACACGTCTGATCCCACAGCGGGGGGGGGGGGGGGGGGGAAGGTGTCTTTATATCGCTGCACAGGCTTCATTTGAAAGCCTCAGGGACACTGGAGACAACTTAGCTTATATCTGTGGTAATTGGCTGAAATCAGGGAAGCAAACTCAACACCCTCGCGGTGTGCATGGCAGAAAAACACGCGCAGGTGTGCCACGGCATAAAAAGAGCCGAGCGTGGGGCTGGGAAGGTGGCTCAGCGGTAGAGCGCTTGCCTCACCTGCATGAGGCCCTGGGTTCGATTCCCCAGCACCACATAAGCAGAAAAAGCCAGAAGTGGCGCTGTGGCTCAAGAGGTAAAGTGCCAGCTATGAGCTAAAGAGCTGAGGGACAGCGCCCAGGCCCAGAGCTCAAGCCCCACGACCAACAACAAAAAAAGATAAAAACTCTCCAAAGTTCCTCCAACTATCCAATGAAACAGAGCACCTTTTGGCAAAGGGGTCTGAGGGACTCCAGCGTGCGGCAGCCCCCAGCGGCCCTGCCTGGGAGGAGCTGAGGGGACTGGGGGCCGGCGGCACCCTTAGAGCCCACATCACACTGGAAATACACTTTCCAAAAGGGGGGGGGGAGGCTGTGGAGAGATCCAGCAGGAAGAAGCTAGCTAGAACACCAAGCTTGTCTTCAGCCCAGGCCCAGCCTCAGTTTACCCTGGGAGGACGGATCTGTGAGTCTCTAAGCTGATAGGCTGGAGTGGCAGAGTGGTGGGAAGTGCGGGACTCTGCGGACAGTGAGTGGGGCGGGGGGGGGGGGGCATGGAGCGTCGGGAGACCCCGGGAGGAGGCTCAGCGGCTCTTTCTGGGTGCTTCTGAGCTCCAGGAGTTGGGGTCCCCCACCGTACCCACCTGGCTCACAAAGATGTTTCCCGCCACACTCAGGGTCTCCGTGGCTGTGGTTCCCATGGTGAACTGCATCAGCCAGGCAATCTGGAAGGGAGCAGGCAGCCTTCATGAGGAGAGAGGGAGGAGAGCAAGAGAGAGAGAGAGAGAGAGAGAGAGAGAGGGAGAGGGAGAGAGAGAGAGAGAGCACGCGAGAGAGATAGATGAGAAAGAGAGAGGGAGAGAGAGAGAGAGAGACGGGGGTGGGGGGAGTGTCAGCGGTGCAAGGACCTCCCAACCCTGGGAGTGGAAGATTCTGGGAGGTGTGGACCGCAGGGTCAAGGCATTCTAGGGAGTACAGTGGGGAGGTCGGGCGGTGGGGCGTGGACTCACCTTCAGGATGACCCACTGCATGAGGCCCAGGTAGTAGAGCACCGACATGACACAGCTGAAGAAGACGATGATGGGCAAGACCTGGCGGAGCAGCGGCCCGGCGGGCCGGCCGTGACAGGGACCGGCAGGGCCTGGACTCTTGGACGGGCCCACCGCCACGCCCGGAGCCTCTGCCCTCCCCCGGCTGCCCTCCCCCTGCCTGAGCACTTCCTGTCCCGATGGGGGTGGTCAGGAGAGGCGCTGGGCTCCCTCCGTGCCCCGCCTTGGGCCGGGACCCAGAGCTCACACACCTGAAAGGCAAAGACTTCCTTCACCAGCGCCTCCCCGAACACGAAGCTGGAGCCGGCCTCGGTGTAGCTCAGGAAGACCTGACACAGGAGGGGTCAGGGGATGGTGGGGGTCAGGGGGGGCTGGGGGTCAGGGGAGGGCGGGAGGTGGGATGCTGTGGCCACAGATGCGGGGTGGGGGGGCAGGGAGGGGGGACCTGGGGCCTCCGGGCTCTGGGCGGGGGTGTGTCCATCAATGCACACCAAAGCAGTAATCCACAGTTGTGTGTGTGTGTGTGTGTGCACGAGTGCGCGCGCGCATGTGTGTGTGTGTGCACGCGCGTGTGTGCTGGTCTTGGGGTTGGGCACTGACCCTTGAGGGCTTTTCTGCTCTGGGCTGCTCACCCGGCTGCAGCCCAGCCTGAGCCGAGGGCAGCTGCCGGGCCGGCACCCATCCCCCGCCGCCGGGGCTCGGGTCCCATCTGCCCTCCTGGGCCCTGGCCATCTCTGTGGCCGCCTCCCCCTCCATCCTCCCAACATAGTGTCCCCCCTTCCCTGCGGGGTCTCCGGGACTCACCTGGATCTGCTCCCCAAGCCACTGAAAGGCAACGAATCCGGGTTCTGTTCGGATGACGAAGAGTCCGAGCAAAAACTGCAGCGCAAGGCCCCAGCCCACGGCGCGCCAGGAGACCTGCCGCGGAGGGTCCCGTGAGCTCCGCCGCTGGCGCTCCACACAGAGCGCGCGAGCGGGGCTGGGGGACGGGGGACGGGGGAGCCGTGGCCCGGGGGACGGGGCCGCGTCCTCTTGGTGTCCACACCAGAGCGGCAGCCGGCGCAGTGCCACAGCCTAACCAAGGAACCGCGGAAAACCCGTCGGGACCCGGGCGCGCCGCGCCACGTCCCCCCACCGTGGCCTCGGGGGTGTCACCGCCTGGCCGGCGCCCGCAGTGTCCCCCCATGGACAGAGCTGCGCGAGGCCCAGCAGAGGCAGACAGGGTTGCTCAGGGGCTGCCCCTTCACTGGCACGGGCGAGTATGCTGTTGGGGGGCAGGCCCTGAGCCCACAGACTTGCTGGGGCTCCAGGAGAAGCCGCAGCCGCCCCTGACAGCCAGCTCCTCCGGCTGCGTCCCCGCCGGCCCGGCCAACGCCACTCCAGGCTCTCAGGACGGGGCTGCCGAGGGACATGGAGCCAGCCACGCAGCCAGGCACTCACGGCACGGTGGTGCTTGGAGCAGGCAAAGAGGAAGAGGACGAACACGCAGATCCCCGCGAAGGAGACCAACTGCTCCGGCCGCTGGGACGTGTCCAGAGACAGCCACAAGACCAGGCCCATGGCGGCAGCCAGCGCCAGACCCCTGCAGAGAGAGGCAGGAAGCCCCGCGCCTCACTCCTGGGCACACCTGAGAACCCCCAGACACACGCACACAGCGCATCCCTACGCACATGCACGGGCATTCTTTTTGTTGTTGTTGGTGGTCACGGGGCCTGAACTCTGGGCCTGGGCGCTGTCCCTCAGCTCTTCAGTTCAAGGCTAGCGCTCTACCACTTGAGCCACAGCACCACTGGCATTTTCTGCTTATGTGGTGCTGAGGAATCGAGCCCAGGCCCTCATGCATGCAAGGCAAGCGCTCTACCCCTGAGCCGCTTTCCCAGCCCCCCTCCCCACTTACCTCTTAAACCAGAGGCTCAGACGGGAACCTCCGGGGAGGCCCACACATGGGAATGCCATGCACCTGCCCAGCCTCGGCCCCAGAAGCCTCTTCAGCAGGCTGTGGGCCCGGAAGACCAGGGCCAGGCCCGTAAGGACCAGCAGCGCCAGGGCCCTGTGCACGTCCAGGAGGCAAGCCACCAGCAGGAAGGCCGCGTAGGCTGCAGTGACAGCAGCGCGCTGGTGAGGCCGGCTGCCTGCGCCCTGCCTGCGACCCGCCCGCGACCCACCCCCACCCGCCCCCAGAGCCTCACGCGGAGGCTGGGCACGGCCGACCCCACCCTGGCCCAGGCTGGCTTTCCTCGTGAGGCGGACCCGCGCACAGAGCTGGCCTGGCCTGCCTGAGACCCCGGGGGATTCCCAGCACTGCTGGGTGCAGGTGCGCACGGAGCCTCGTGGATTCAGACCTGAGCTACTGGCGGAGAGGCGTCTGGAGTGAACGATCCACAGGGCGGTGCCATCCATACACACACACACACACACACACACACACACACGTGCCCCCCCCCCCCCCCCCCCGCACAGGTGCAGGCTCCCGCCTCGCGCCTTTCTCTCCTCCACCTGCCTGACCTCTGCCCCACCCCGGCACTGAAGGCCACCTCCTCCTGGAAGTCCTCCCTGACAACCGGCCCGCTGGGGCTCCCCGCGCCGTGCCTGTGACGGCACGGGTGGATGGACGGCGTCCTGCGTGGGACAGGCCCTCACCCGTGCAGAGCAGGCCTGTGACCATCCACCGCAGCAGCTGGGCATGCTCCTGGCAGAAGCTTCTGGCTCTCCGAACCGGCTGCAGGCTCCTCCTGGGGAGGGGTCCACGGGGTCCACGGGGTGCTTCTGAGCTCCCACCCGGTGGGGGTCCCCAACTCCCTGACGCCCCAGCACCCCCCGTGGGCATTCCCAGTGTGAAAGGCACCGCAGCCCTGCAAACTCTGGTCTGGTGTGTCGGCCGCACCCTGGGCCAGGGGGGAGCTGGGGCACGGCAGGTGAGCGTCTACCAGACCGGCCGCTCTTTAGGGGTGTCCCCGGCCCCTCCCTGTTTGTGCTCAGCTCCCGCAGGGGCGGCAGCAATGGTCCTGTTCAAGGCCCAGCTCGGAAATCTGAACCGAGCTTTGGGGCTCTCCAAAGTGTCCCAGAGACCAACGGGCGGGAAGGTGGCCTCCCCCCTCCCCCGGGGGGGGTCACCGGTCACCTACCACCGGGAGGAGGGCCCGGGGTGCACGGCGCTCCAGCCGTCCCCGACCTGCGACTGTGCGGGCCTCGGGTCGCCGCCCGGGAGCCGGCCTTCCTCCTAAAGCCAGGGCGTGCGCGGCCAGGGCGCTCGCGGGCACCCCAGGCCATGAGGGGTTGCCGTCAGACTGAGGAGGGATGGGGTGCGGGATTCCACTCCTAACTCTGGTCGCGGTCCTCCATCGGCCTCAACCAGGCCGGTGGGGAGCAAGGACAAGGCCGTGCGCTCCCCCAGGCCCCCAGGCCCCCTGCCCCTCCTCCCCACTGCCCGGGCGGCATGGGGCTGTGCGGGCTGTGTGTGGCTGTATGGGGCTGGGGGCGGGCTGTGTGCAGGCTGTGCAGGGCGGGGGGGAGGCTGTGTGTGGGCTGTGTGTAGGGCTGTGTGTGGGGCTGTGTGTGGGGCTGTGTGTGTGGGGCTGTGGGGGGGCTGTGTGTAGGGCTGTGTGTGGGGCTGTGTGTGGGGCTGTGTGTGGGGCTGTGTGTGGGGCTGTGTGTAGGGCTGTGTGTGGGGCTGTGGGGAGGGCTGTGTAGGGCTGTGTGTGGGCTGTGTGTGGGGCTGTGTGTGGGCTGTGTGTAGGGCTGTGTGTGGGGCTGTGTAGGGCTGTGTGTAGGGCTGTGTGTGGGGCTGTGTGTGTGGGGCTGTGTGTGGGGCTGTGTGTGTGGGGCTGTGTGTGGGGCTGTGTGTGGGGCTGTGTGTGGGGCTGTGTGTGGGGCTGTGTGTGGGGCTGTGTGTGGGGCTGTGTGTGTGGGCTGTGTGTGGGGCTGTGTGTGTGGGGCTGTGTGTGTGGGCTGTGTGTGTGGGGCTGTGTGTGGGGCTGTGTGTGTGGGCTGTGTGTGTGGGCTGTGTGTGGGGGGCTGTGTGTGGGGCTGTGTGTGTGGGGCTGTGTGTGGGGCTGTGTGTGGGGCTGTGTGTGGGGCTGTGTGTAGGGCTGTGTGTGGGGCTGTGTGTGGGGCTATGTGTGGGGCTGTGTGTAGGGCTGTGTGTGTGGGCTGTGTGTGTGGGCTGTGTGTGGGGCTGTGTGTGTGGGCTGTGTGTGTGGGGCTGTGTGTGGGGCTGTGTGTGGGGCTGTGTGTGGGCTGTGTGTGGGCTGTGTGTAGGGCTGTGTGTGGGCTGTGTGTGGGCTGTGTGTAGGGCTGTGTGTGGGCTGTGTGTAGGGCTGTGTGTGTAGGGCTGTGTGTGGGCTGTGTGTGGGCTGTGTGTGGGGCTGTGTGTGGGCTGTGTGTAGGGCTGTGTGTGGGGCTGTGTGTAGGGCTGTGTGTGGGCTGTGTGTGGGCTGTGTGTAGGGCTGTGTGTGGGCTGTGTGTAGGGCTGTGTGTGTAGGGCTGTGTGTGGGCTGTGTGTGGGCTGTGTGTGGGGCTGTGTGTGGGCTGTGTGTAGGGCTGTGTGTGGGCTGTGTGTGGGCTGTGTGTGGGGCTGTGTGTGGGGCTGTGTGTGGGGCTGTGTGTGGGGCTGTGTGTGTGGGCTGTGTGTGTGGGCTGTGTGTGGGGCTGTGTGTGGGGCTGTGTGTGGGGCTGTGTGTGGGGCTGTGTGTGGGGCTGTGTGTGGGGCTGTGTGTGGGGCTGTGTGTGGGCTGTGTGTAGGGCTCTGTGTGGGGCTGTGTGGGAGGCTGTGGGGGGGGGCTGTGTGCGGGGCTGTGCGGGACTGTGGGGGGGTTGTGCAGGACTGTGCGGGGCAGCACCTGATAGGGCCTGGGGGGGGGGTCTGAGAACACAAGCTGCGGAAGGAGGGGCTGAGGGGAGCGGGGGTTCGGCCGCCCGGGCCCCGGGAGCTGACGCGCAGGCAGGGCGTGGACAGACCATTCTTTCCAAGAACTCGGCCCCCATGTTGTCCAGGCCGCGGGCCGCGGGCGCCAGGGAGAAGGCCTCTGCCATGGGCTGGACCGTCCAGCTGAAAGATAGAGCAGGGCCAGAGGAGGGGTCAGAGGAGAGGGGCGGGAGGGGGGCCGGGGATGCCCGGGCTGGACCCCAGCGCCTGGGGTACCCGTCTGGCTCAGCCGTGGGCCTGTGCCAGACGAGTGTCTGCAGACCGAGCCACGGCCAGCGTCCACAGCGCGCCCGAAGGGCGGCCGAGCGCCGCCACTCCCTGCAGCTGCCCGGGGCCAAAGACGGGACTCCAGCGGGGCGCCAGCGGGATGCCAGTGGGGACACCGCGGGGATGCCAGCAGGATGCCAGCGGGGACGCCAGCGGGGCGCCAGCGGGATGCCAGCGGGATGCCAGCGGGGCGCCAGCGGGATGCCAGCGGGATGCCAGCGGGGACGCCAGCGGGGACGCCAGCGGGGCGCCAGCGGGATGCCAGCGGGATGCCAGCGGGGCGCCAGCGGGATGCCAGCGGGGATGCCAGCGGGATGCCAGCGGGGCGCCAGCGGGGCGCCAGCGGGATGCCAGCGGGGCGCCAGCGGGACGCCAGCGGGGCGCCAGCGGGATGCCAGCGGGATGCCAGCGGGGCGCCAGCGGGACGCCAGCGGGACGCCAGCGGGATGCCAGCGGGGACACCGCGGGGATGCCAGCGGGGCGCCAGCGGGATGCCAGCGGGATGCCAGCGGGATGCCAGCGGGGCGCCAGCGGGATGCCAGCGGGATGCCAGCGGGGCGCCAGCGGGATGCCAGCGGGATGCCAGCGGGACGCCAGCGGGATGCCAGCGGGGACGCCAGCGGGATGCCAGCGGGATGCCAGCGGGATGCCAGCGGGATGCCAGCGGGGATGCCAGCGGGGCGCCAGCGGGATGCCAGCGGGACGCCAGCGGGATGCCAGCGGGATGCCAGCGGGGACACCGCGGGGACGCCAGTGGGGACACCGCGGGGACGCCAGCGGGGACGCCAGCGGGGACGCCAGCGGGATGCCAGTGGGGACGCCAGCGGGGACGCCAGCGGGGCGCCTCATCTGGCGATCCAGCCAGGCCCCACCGAGGCCCATCCGTACCCTCGCCCTCCCCGGACGCCAACGCCTCCGGGAAGCAGAAGCTGCTCACGGACCGCAGTGCTACTGTCAGGGAGAGTCAGCCAGCCGCGCCCGGGAGAGGCTGAGGCAGGAGGATCTAAAGTTCAAATCCAGCCTGTGCTGCGTGTGTGTGTGTGTGTGTGTGTGTGTGGATTCTCTGCCTCAAATCAAAGAGGAAGGAGCGGTAAGGAAGCCTTCCTTCCCATTCCTGCCTCCCCTCCTTCCTTGCCTTAGGAAGCACCCCCATTTAACCCAAACACCCCCTCACACAGTGGGACCTCCCCTTGCGGGGCGGGGGTCCTACTCACAGTCTGGTCTGGTGACAGGTGGCCTGGACGCTGCACTGCGGGGGACTGGGTCCAGGCTGCTCCCGCCAGCCCCGCCTTGTCATCTCAGCAGAACTCGGGGCAGAGTCCAGAGGGGGGGGGGGCTGGGCGTGGGCCCAGGAGTTCTGGCCGGGGACCAGGAGATGAGGGAGGGGAGGCACAGCAGCCCCCAAAGTCTCCCCTCCTCATTCCCACCCCCCCACCCCGCCCAGGCCTAGCCCCAGGCCCCTCCCCCGGGAAGCTGCGTGCCTGCCGCCCCCCAGCCCCGCACCTCAGCTTCATTTTGCATCTGTCTCCTCTCACTGGAGGGGCCGTTGTTCTTGGAGCTGTGTCCCCCTGAGCGGGAAGAGGGGGTACGGAGTGGGGTGACACAAACAGGAAGTGCGTGTCAGCTCTGCAGCCTGACACAGTTACACACACCAAGCAAAAGTCACACCATTTTCTTCTCCTGTATCTTGTTTCGTTCCAACAAATGCCTAAGCAAAACCGGGTACAGAGCAAAGGGGCAAACACTTCGGTTCCTCCGTCTTCAAGGTAAACAGGAAGCTTTTCCGCAAGGGGTCAACACATCTCTTTAATAATTAATGGTACTCTTGCACTGGGCGGGTGTGGTAACGCATGGCTGTAATCCCTGAACTCGGGAGGCTGAGGCAGGAGGTTCAAGAGTTCAAGTTGGGGGGGGGAGGGGAGAAGGAGGAGGAGAAGGGGGGGGGCCTGGGGAGGAGGGGGAGGAGGGTGTGGCAGCTCATGCCTATAATCTTAGTTTTGTTTTTTTTTCTACTAAGGTTTGAACTCAGGCTTCCTGCTTCCTAGGCAAGCTCTCTACCACCTGGGCCACTCCCCCCTCTCCCCCCATTCCAATGTTAGCTTCTTGGAGGCTGAAATCAATCGGGAGGATTGCAGTTTTTAGGGCAGCCCTGGCAAAAAGTGTATGAGACTTCATCTTAACAAAATAGCTGGGGATAGTGGCGTGCACCTGTCATCCGAAAAGCACGAATCGCAGGATCACAGCCCAGGCCACCCTGGGCAAGAAGTGAGGACCCCGTCTGCTAAGATAATGGCCCCTGGAGGCCTGGCGTGGCCACAGTACTGCCGTGAGGCCTCCTCCGGCCCCAGGGGCTGGGCCGAGGGGGGACTCTCCGGCTCCCTCTGGTGGGTGCTGGGAGCCCTGGGGAGCACGCAGGGCGGTGCTCCTCCTCCAGCCTCGGTGGCCCCAGGACCAGGCCTCCCCTCACTCTGCCCCCGCCACAGGGGCGCCCTTCCAGATGGCCCTGGCTGGGCTGGCAGAGCCGTGTGCCCACACTGCTGCACCCCGCCCAGGAGCCGGCAGCGGGCAGGGAGCCTCCTCAGACCCGGCCGAGGTGGGTCCCCCGCCTGCTTCTCTCCTGCGTGGGACGGGGTCCACTGCTGCCGGCCTCTACTCACATCTGTTTCGTTTGGAAAGCAGGTCCTGTGTCATTCAGAGCACAAATGCGTGCAAGGGACAAAGACCACAGGCAGAGGCTTGGGATGTCCCAGGAGGTGGACGATGCCTGTCACCCGATACATTTTCTTGTAGACAGGTTGCATTCCCAGCTGTGGGGGGAATCTTCCCCTCCTGAGTGGCTGGGACTACAGGCTCCCTGCCCCTATTCTTTATCTTTCTGCACAAAGCTCTCCTAGAATTCATGCACTCCCCATGGGGAGAAGCATTCTCATTCACAAAAGACTGACCCTGCCCCCCACCCACCCACGGTGTGGCTCCGTGGCCGGGATTCAGCTCCGGCTTCCCACGCCTGCAGGGGAGGAAGGCACTTTCTCAGCCCCCCCCACCCCCAATAGCCCAGAGGAGGATTCTACCGGAACTGTCCATGGGTGGAGTTCCCCTGGCCTGGATGTGTGGTTGACGTTTGACCCGAGGATCGCTCAAAGCCCGGGCAGAGCAGCTGCCCGCTGGGCCGTGCGGATCCTTGTCAGGCCACTGTGCAGGCAGGCCCCTCCGTCCGGGGGCCTCGTCTGTCCTGGGTGTGGTCAGGTCTGAGGCTGTGGGGTGACCCGCAAGGGCGGCGCCTGCCGGGGAGCCGCTCCTGTCTGCAGACTGCTGCGGTCCTCAGTAGCGGCAGCGGCGGGGGGCGGTGGTGGCGGCGGCGGCGGCGGGGCCAGATGTGCCCGGCTGGGGGGAGAGCCGCCACGGGCAGGCCTGAGGGTCCTGGCCTGTGGTTTCCTCTGCCTGGCTCCTCTGGACCCACACCTCCCACCAGAAAAGATTTGACTCAGCACTTGAGCACCAACCTAGCAAGCATGAAGCCCTAAGTTCAAACCCAGTCCTGCAAAGTGATGATGATGATGATGATAAAAAAAAAAAGAAGAAAGGCAGGAATTCAGAGGTTTAGGGTGGCACAAATGCTTTATTGGGTCCCTGGCATGCATCCAGCCCCCCGCCCCCCGGCCTCCCATCTTCCGCAGGCCCAGAACACAGACACAGACGCCCTCCTGGCTACACCCAAGTGCTAGTTGGAAGATGTGGTGAAAGCGGTTCCCTGCGCTGGGCAGCAGAGGGGCGGGCATCGTGGGCTGTGCAGGCATCATTGTGGGCTGGGCGGGCATCGTGGGCTGGGCAGGGGTCTCGGTGTGAGCATGGAAATCAGACCTTCAGCTGTGGTTCAGCAATGGCTGGCACCCACAAAACAAAATGGCCAGACAGCCCTGAGACATCGCCTAGGAACTCCTGTCATTGAAGACTTTAGGGTGGCTGACAAGTCTGCCTTGAGCTGCCGAGGTAAAGCCACGATTTCCCACCAGGTATCCGGACCCAGCTGGCCAGAAGGACAAGATCCCAGGAACTCTCTCGAGGAAAACCTGACTGTGACTCTCAGGGGGCACCAGGGTCCCCCGTCCTGCCTGCCCGAGGGAGTTGGGGCTGTGTATCTGGGATCTATGGCCGGGTCGGGGGAGAGTTTTCCCCGTGCGGCGGTCGGATGCATGTTCAGAGGCCAGCGACCTCACGACACCTGCACAAACTCCTGCGCCCGTACACAGAGCTGCGGGGCGGCTGGCGTCCGCATGGTTCCTTCGCAAGGCGGGCAAAACTTGTATACGGCACCCGGGGGCATCGTACTCGAGCGGACGGGCCTGGGGAGCTCCGGTTCTGGGCTGGGTCAAGTGTGGCCCCGACCTGGGAAAGCCTTGTACACGGTCAGGGCCGCTGCCCAGTCACGTGACCCGCGGGGCCTCTGCGGGGGAGGGGTGGTCATGGGTGTCCTGATGAGAAGTGTGGCAGGGGACCCGGGGGCCTGGGGTCTGGCCACACTCTGGCTGATTAGGAGCCCCCTCCCTGGCCCACCGCTCTGCTTGCTTCAGACCGAGGCCCGGGAGGCACAGCGGGGTGTGGAGCACCCCTCATCCTCCCTCCCGCCTCCTCCCACCCTCCTCTCCACCCGCCCTGGCCAAGATGGCCCTTGATAGGCCTCCTTTTACCCGTCATGCCTCCTTTTACCCATCATGCCTCCTTTTTTTTTTTTTTTTTTTTGTCGGTTGTGGGGCTTGAACTCTGGGCCTGGGCGCTGTCCCTCAGTTCTTCAGCTCAAGGCGAGCGCTCTACCACTTGAGCTACAGCGCCACTTCCGGTTTTCTGGTGGTTTATTGGAGATAGGAGTCTCACGGTCTCTCCTGCCCGGGCTGGCTTTGAACCGCGATCCTCAGATCTCAGCCTCCTCAGTAGCTAGGATGACAGGCGTGAGCCACCAGCGCCCAGCTCATGCCTCCTTTTATTTACCCATCATGCCTCATTTTATTTACCCATCATGCCCTCTTTACCCATCATGCCCTCTTTACCTATCACGCATCTCCAGCCATCAAGACCCACAATGCTCTCCTGGCCCTCTCCTCCCTCATTCCATCCACAAGAGAACGTGCTGTAGCAGCAAAAGCCGAGCCCTGGGGCCGCGTCAGGTGCTCACCGGTCTCCCAGGCTTCCTGCGGCCGCAGGCAGTGGCTGGTGAGGGCGAGGTGGTGTGGGGGGACTCACCACGCAGAGAGGCCGTCCGGGGCCTGCATCTTCCTGGGCTGCGTGGCCCAGGCCCAGGCTGCTATGGAGGTTTGAGGGTCCCCGGGGCAGAGTCAACACACGCCGCCGCCACCCCGCCGGCCGGCTTGGTGGGTTTTCCCCACAGAATTTCAAAGTGGGACTATGACAGCACTAGACAGGGGAAGATGGCCATGGTGATGCTGGGCTTGGGATAAGAGTGGCCGTGTCACCCCCGAAATACCCCAAGCAGAGAGGGCTTGTTCTGGATGGAAGTCAGAGAGCGTGGCGAGTGTGTGTGTGTGTGTGTGTGTGTGTGTGTATGCACATGTGTGTACGCAGGTCTACCTTTTGCCCATGAAACCCTGTCAACTCATCCACTCCTCTGATACGAAATCCCATCTTTTCCTCTCTCCCATCTATGAGGCCCTGCCATCCAAGCCAGATTCTCCTCCCTGGAATCTGAATCGCGAGCGCCGGACTCCGCTGGAGACTGACCGCAGCACCCCAGGCGAGGCTGATGGCTCAACCACTCGTTCTGTTTTGTGAGCTGCCCGACGTCCTTTCCCAGGAAGCTTTTCTCCTGCTGAGGTTGGTCCACATTCATTTCTGTTGCCCTGAACCCCGGGGGCTGAAGGGCAGCGTCCTGGGCCTGGTCTCCCGCCGGCCGCCCGGGCGGGGCCTGCGCAGTGTGTCTGCAGCGCGGCGGACTGGACCGAGCGCTCGCTGGCCGCTGCAGACTGGACCGAGCGCTCACTGGCCGCTCTCCTGCTCCCGGCCTCCCGGCCGTGCGGGCGGGGCTGGGGGGACAGGGGGCCAGACGGAAACCAAGAAGCCGCCCGAGCCAGGAGGAGGTAGAGAAGTTAGAAATGTCAGAACGGAAGGAAGACGTCCAGCCAGGAAGGACCCGTGCAGGGGACAGGAGGCTCAGCCGCTCCGGGGCCTGCCACGGTGGAGGTGGCCACAGGGAGGCGGCTGAGCCCCCGGGGCTCTGCTCTTCCCCCCTCGCCACCCTCTTCCAGGTGAAGGGACAGTCCCCAAATGCATTGACAGTGCCCAGATGCACAGACGTGCCGTGGCCACAGAAGGCTGAGCCCCAAGTCGTGCTGGGAGCCCCGACGCGGGCTTTCTACTCCAGTCGACACGGTTCCCTTTTGCCGCCGGTCTGGGGGTGACAGGACCCTCGTGGAGCCTGGCAAGAGAGGGCTGAGCACCCCACGCCCAACGTGGCCAGCGGGGCCCGTGCTGCTGCCCCTCCTGCCTTCCGAGGGGAGCAGGCTAGCCCGCCCCTCTCCCGCCCCACATCCCACGAGGCCCTGGGGTCCCCGGGGCCACGCAGGAGGGCGCAGGGCCGCAGTGCGAGTCTGGCGCTGGCCGGGACGTGGCGTGGGCGCCCCTCTGCCCAAGCCCATGAGCACACAGCAGCCTTCCTGACACAGATGTGCCCCAGAGGGCCCCAGACCTCTCCCTGTGGGTGACCCTCACCGTGACCCCCACCCCTCAGCGCGAGGCCCCTCTGAGTCGGCACACACATCCCCCGTGCCAGGTTTTGCCTCACAAGCCAGGAAGTAGAGACATGGGGGACATAGTGGGGTGCAAGGAGAGGCCCCTGGGTCTGTCCCCCACACTTGGCCCTGGTGGGCGGGCTGTGGAGCCTCTGGACAAAGGACAAGCCAGGAGCTGCAGCGGCAGGCGGGCTCGGAGCCGGCCGAGGGGCGCAGTGAGCGGGCATCAGCAACCGGGAAGAAGAGCTGGCGCCTGCTGGCAGAGACCAGGGTGCAGGGCTGGCTCTGGGGGCGCCCTGCGGGGATTGGGGGTACGCAGCAGTGAGGGAGGCCGAGTTGCTGGAAGAAGGGACCCTGAGGGTCAGTCACAGGCCCAGCGGAGGCCGGGATGAGCCGAGTTGAGGGCCAGTGCCAGCCAAAAGCGCCAGGGTGCCCCCTGCCCCCCGGCGGGCTGGGCCAGGGCAGGGGAGGGGAAGGTTGGGGTGCAGGACGCATGCAGAGGGCTTGGGAGCTTGGCAGTGGCAAGTGTAAACTTCAACACGGCCCGCGGAGGCGCGGCCGGCTCGAGGCCTAGGAGCCCGGGGAGCCCCCGGCCGGCCGGCACGGGAGAGGCCAGCAGCTGCCGCCGGCCCCAGCCTTCCACGAGGCGCAGAGAGGCCCGGGAGGCGCCTCAGCGGGGCCTCTTCCCCAGTCCTGATCAAGAATGTCCATCCGGTCCAAGCTGCTTTCTGGTTGGTCTGCGGCTAGGTGGAGGCTCCCAGCCTCAGCTGGGGCTACCGCGTGCCCTGGGGCTTCGAGCCCCCCTCTTGGGCTGGGGGGTGACCTGGTGCCAGGGCAGCGGCCGCCTCTGAGGCCCGAGGGGTGGCCTTGGGGCTCGGCATGCTCTTCCTGGCGCCCTGCGGGCTGGGCTGGGGTTTCTTCTGGGGCTGAGGACTCAGCTGGGGCCCCTTCCGGCCAGCAGAGGGGCTCTTGGAGCCCTTGGCCTTGGCCGGGGGGTGGGCGGCCTCGGGGCCCTTGAGGGGCGTCAGCCCCAGCATCTCGCAGAAGGGGTTGCACTGGTGGGAGGAGGCAAACTGGTCCAGCAGTGCAGGGAAGCAGCTCTCCTTGAGGCCTTGGTATCTGCAGCCAAACGGGGGGTGCTGAGTGAGGGCCGGGCCGGGGACGGGCCTGGGGCTGGCTGGGAAATGGCCCCATCAGAGGACACTCCCAGGGACACGTCAGGTGGCAGTATCCAGAGCCTCAGTATGGCACTGGCTCCCTCCACCTCACACCGGGCTTGGTGTGGCTGCCCTGTGGTAGGAGCCTGGCTTGTGTGTCTGTGTGTCTGTGTGCACGCACATGTACGTGCACGCCAGCCCTAGGGCTTGCATGCAGGGCACTGTCCCTGAGCTTTCAAGGCTGGCGCTCTACCACTTGAGCCACAGCTCTACTCGCAGCTTTCTGGTGATTGATGGGGGTACGAGTCAGGGCTCTCCTGCCCTAGTTGACATGGAACTGCGATCCTCAGATCTCCGCCTCCCAAGTAGCTGGGATTACAGGCGTGCGCCACCGGTGCCTAGCAGCAAAACTGCCAGCCCTTCTCAAGTGAGATGTGGGGAGACTCCGAGGGGCACACCTGCGGGGCGCCGGGGGCCTCAGTGCGCAGTTTCAGACCTGGGGCCAGGCATAGGGGGGCAGCACCCCCAGGCCCAGCACCGCAGAGCCAGGAGAACCAGGAGGTCCTCTCTGGTGCCTCTCCCACCCCAGGAGCACTCACCCTCGCAGTCTGGTGGCGATCTGCACATCAGTCATCTTCCAGTCCGCCCCTAGGGAAAGAGAGAGGCTGTGGATGTGGCCGGCCGGGGCCTGGGCCCCACGTCTCCCATCCGCACGGACACCATGCAGGACAGGAACTTCCCAGGGGCTCAGTTCAGAGCCCCCCTCATGGCCACCACTGGGAGCCCCGTACCCCATCCTCCCAGGACAGGAGATGTCTCAGACCAATGCCTTGGCACCTTGTAGTTACCCGTTCACTCAGTAACAGCACTGCACTGACAGTGCAGTGGTAGCTGCCAGGCTGAGTTCACCGGACCAAGCCGGGCCACCAACTGCACCAGCCCCGGCTCGACTAAAACTTTGACCTCGGTCTCCACAGATGAAAGTCTCCCGAGGAGGGGGGAGAAACTGGGGACTCTGCACTGGATACGGCAGATTTACACTTCCCATGCGGACAGCTGCAAGCTCTCCCTGCACCAGGGGGGACCGAGGCGTGGGGGACCGTGGGGGGTGGAGCCCGCAGCGTGGACGGGGGGAGCCAGCCCAGCCCTGCCTGCGCGGCTCAGCCACGTGCACCAGGCGCCCGATGCTGGCTCCTCATTTTCAAAGTGCCCAGGATCTTCCCACGGCTGCTCTTCGCTATCGCGGTGCGGGAGAACCAGTGCGGGCTGTAGGATCGGCTGCATCCAGATTTCCAGCCCAGCTCTCTCACGAGTCACTTAAACTCTCAACTGCCCAAGAGTGCGGCGAGGACCATGCATGGGTGGTTCCAGAGGTGTGAAACGGCTCCGTGCAACAAACGCGCATGGAGCACACTCCTTTCTCATTACACCAGTGCTCCCTGACCCCCGCGCGGGACCTGAGTGTGCAGGCCGTCTGCGCTTCGGTTTTCTTTCCTTGTCCCTGATATTGAAGACAAAGTCTCCTGTATAACCCAGGTTGGCCTTGAACTTGCAATCCTCCTGCCCCTGCCTCCCAAGTACTAGGATTACGGAAAGCAATACCATGCTTGGTTATGCTTTGGTCTGTCTGTCTTTCTTGCTGAGCTCTTTTGCTCAAGGTTAGTGCTCTACCACTTCCAGCCACAGTGCCGTTTCTGGTTTTTGGTGAGAGAGAGAGTCTTACAGACTTTCTTGCCTGGGACTGGCTTTGAACTGCAATCCTCAGCTCTCAGCCTTCTGAGTAGCTAGGATGACAGGCGTGAGCCACTGGCACCCGGCCTGTGTCATTGATTTTTGGTTTTGTTTTGTTTCTGCCAATCCTGGGCCTTGAACTCAGTTCCTGGGCACTGTTCCGGAGCGCCTTCTTTTCAAGACTAGCACTCTACCACTTGAGCCACGGCGCCACTTCTAGCTTTTTTTCTTTTTCATGGGGCCTGAACTCTGGGCCTGGGCGCTGTCCCTCAGCTCTTCAGCTCAAGGCTAGCACTTTACCACTTGAGCCACAGCGCCACTTCCGGCTTTTTTTTCCTGCTTATGTGGTGCTGAAGAATAGAACCCAGGGCCTCAGGCATGCAAGGCAAGCACTCTACCACTGAGCCACCTTCCCAGCCTCCCATGTCATTGTTTTTTTTTTTTTGTCAGTCGTGGGGCTTGAACTCTGGGCCTGGGCACTATCCTTCAGCTCTTCAGCTCAAGGCGAGTGCTCTACCACTTGAGCTACAAGCTACAGCGCCACTTCCAGTTTTCTGGTGGTTTATTGGAGATAGGAGTCTCACAGTCTTTCCTGCCCGGGCTGGCTTTGAACCATGATCCTCAGATCTCAGCCTCCTGAGTAGCTAGGATTACAGGCATGAGCCACCAGTGCCCGGCTTCATGTCATTGTTTTTAAAGCAAATTATTTTCCAATTTTGAGGGAGTGGAAGTATTCTCCTAGAAAGAAAGCATCACAAAAGGCCCCTCTGCACGAGGCCCTGGGTGTGCACTGGGATTTCACAGGAAACGGCCCGAGCGGGTCTCCTGGGAGAGCTGGCGGGAGGGCGCTGCGGGCATCGAACCTGCGCTGCACCGCGGCCTGCCCCTCCACGTGCCTTCACACACAGGTGGGCTGCCCATGTGCGTACCTGCCATGTCCGTGACGAGGAAGCTGCCGTTCGTCCACTGGTACAGCCAGTGCTGGAAGCTCCGGCATTTCTGCACGGCCTCAGAGCCGCTGGAGGCTGTGGGGGCCCCGGCGCCCCAGTCCCGGGAGCAGTAGGGCTCCAGGGGCTCGCCCAGGTCTTCCTCCAGCGTGGCGTAGGGGATGTTGTTGGCGGGCCGGTAGATCAGATGCAGCGGGATGATCCTGAGCACATGGGCGGGAGTGTGGCCCCAGGTCGCCTCCCTCTAGCCCCTCTGTATTTTTGGAGCTGAAGGGCCGGCCTGGCCAGGGAGATGCCCCAGCCCCAGCTCAGAATGGACCCCAGGCCGCTGACTTCATGGTTCCCCCTCCCCCCCCCCTCCGCCGTGAGAGAGGGCCCCCGGGCAGACGGCCCAGGGCTTGGTGGGGGCAGAGGCCTGTGCAGGGAAGAGGCCGTTGGGGCAGAGACCAGCACCAGCCGGGAGAAAACGCGCTGCACCTCGGGAGGGAGGCCAGCACTCCCACCCGTCCTCACCCCCCACGGAGACCCCCACCCACCCACGCGTCCTCACCCCCCACGGAGACCCCCACCCACCCACGCGTCCTCACCCCCCACGGAGGCCCCACCCACGCGTCCTCACCCCCCACGGAGACCCCCACCCACCCACGCGTCTTCACCCCCACGGAGACCCCCACCCACGCGTCCTCACCCCCCACGGAGGCCCCCACCCACGTGTCCTCACCCCCCACGGAGGCCCAGAGCCCACAGCCGCCAACCTGCAAAACCTGGGGGCGGGACAGACCCCTTCTAAAGTGGGGACATCTATTTCTAGACCCAGTGACGGCGCCCTCGGGCTGACCGTGGGGTACCCACGCACGGGGCAGAGCCCCTCTGCCCCGGCCGCCCCTCACTTACTCGGGCACCTCGCCGAAGCCGGGGACGGCCCGGGCCTCCGCTGCGAAGATTTTGCAGTACTCCCGGCTCATGTTCTGGATCTTGCAGCCCTAGGATCAGGGAAACCCGGGTGCCATGGGCCAGCCCGCTCCCCCCTCCCGTGGCTGCCCAGCCCGCCCCCCCTCCCGTGGCTGCCCAGCCCGCCCCCCTCCCGTGGCTGCCCAGCCCGCCCCCCCTCCCGTGGCTGCCCAGCCCGCCCCCCCCTCCCGTGGCTGCCCAGCCCGCCCCCCCTCCCGTGGCTGCCCAGCCCGCCCCCCTCCCGTGGCTGCCCAGCCCGCCCCCCCTCCCGTGGCTGCCCAGCCCGCCCCCCCCCCTCCCGTGGCTGCCCAGCCCGCCCCCCCCCTCCCGTGGCTGCCCAGCCCGCCCCCCCTCCCGTGGCTGCCCAGCCGGGGCGCGGGCACGCGCAGGCTGCAGGGGGCTTCCCGCCCCAGAGCAGGGGCCTGTACCCTCCACTCCCTTCTCGGCACCTCGTCCCCTCACACCCGATTCAAACCCGGGTGTGGGAGAGTTTCCTGTTTGGCGGAGCCCTGGCCCCTGCGCCCCAGGAGACCCCCAATCCCTCACTCCTGTCACCTTGCAGCGACAGGGCTACGAGAGGGACTGGGCTTCCACAGCACGGCAATAGAAGAGTTTCAAAACTGGGCTCCCCGTGTGCTGCGCTGTCCAGTTCCCAGCGAGCAGCCGGGCCGGCCGCATCGCAGCCGCTCCTCCGCCGCTCTGGAGCCTGAGGGCCGAGGCCGAGGCCGCTGCCTCCTACCTGGATGGTGACGTCGTAGTTTCTGCCCAGGAGCGACGTCTCGCCGCTGGGCCCGAACACCAGCAGGCTGGACACCTTGATGACGCACGTGCGGCCCGACTCGAAGATGGGCTCCAGCCCGTAGATGACCCTGGCGCGGGAGGCCTTGCGGAGGTCCCCCCGGGGCCGGGCTCCGCGGGGCTCCTCGCTCACCAGCCGCCCGAAGAGCTTGTCCCCCCAGCAGCCCGAGTCCGCCAGGCCCTTGGCGAACACCATGGGCGTCATCTCGATCTCCTCCCCGACTGAAAGAGACCAGGGAGAGGTGCACGCGAGCCGCCGCCCCGCCGCGCGCAAGGCGGACGGCCCCCTTCCCTGCGGCTCGTCTACGGCTGCCAGGACCCCGTGGACCGGGCGCAGGCGCCATCGATGCCAGAACGGCCGCCATCAACCAGCCCACCGAGCTGGGGATGCAGGGCCCAGCCCCCCGCACCCCACAACCTCCCTGTGTGGAGCCCGGGAGCAGCTCGGCGTGGAAGGAGGCGTCCGTGCCCCCTCGACCCGGGCAGAGCGCCGAATCCGGCCCCCAGCCCTCCGCCTCGCTCGCGGGCCGGCCTGGCCTGGGGACAGTGTGTGGCCTCCCTGCGGAGCCCTTTTCCCCACGCGGGGCAGCGTACCTTCCGCTTCCTCCCTGGAGACGAAGCCAGACAGCACTGCGGAGAGAAGGAAGACCAGGCCGGGGCTCAGCCGGGCGCGGCTACACCCGAGCGCTCCCACCACGGCGCCAGGCTGGAAGAACCCCGCGCCACGCCCGCTGCGCGCCACGCACGCGCCACGCACGCCCGCCGTCACCGCGACACGCCCACTCCACACCCACCCCCGTGCACGCCCACACAATGCCACGCCCACCCTACACCGCTCATCAGACGCCCCGCCCGCCATACCACCCGTGCCACGCCCACACAGCCACGCCCACCCACACCACGCCCACCAGTGCCACACCCACCCTACGCCCTCCCACCCATACCATGCCTATCATGCACCACGCCCTCCATATGCCACGCCCACAGTGCCACGCCCACCCGCACCCAACCACCCCAGCCACGCCCACCCATACCACGCCCACCAGTGCCACACCCACCCTACGTCCTCCACCCATACCATGCCTATCATGCACCACGCCCTCCATATGCCACGCCCACACAGCCACGCCCACCCACCCCCCACGCCACGCCCACCCATACCACGCCCACCAGTGCCACACCCACCCTACGCCCTCCACCCATACCATGCCTATCATGCACCACGCCCTCCATATGCCACGCCCACAGTGCCACGCCCATCCTGTGCCACCCCACCCCCATGCCGCACCCGCCCCACGCCGCGCCCGGCGGCGGCCCGCGCCCCTCACCGTCTGGGCTGAGGCAGAAGTCGGTGGCGGCGGCGCCGTGCTCGTTGCGGAGCGTGCAGCGGTACAGGCCGCAGTCCACGGGCGACGCCTGCACGATGGCCAGGGCCGCGGGGCCCTCGTCCCCGGCGCTGCGTGGAGAGCGGAGACGCTGCTCAGAGAGGCGGGCGGCGGGGCTCGGGCCGCCCTGGGGCTGGGGTGGGCGGCCGGTGGGGCCGTCCTGGGGCTGGGGCGGGCAGCCGTTGGGGCCGCCCTGGAGCTCGGTCTGCCTGACTTTGCATTGGTGACTCCCAGGGCCAGGAGCCCAGGTCCGCAGCGGGAAGCCGGACGCTTACCTCCGGCCCACCTCGCCCACCGGGCGCTGGTCCTTGGCCCAGGTCAACACCGAGTCGCTGAGGACGTTAAAGAACTGGCACCAGAGCTTCAGGCTCCCCGAGGCGTCCGGGAACTGCTCCACGCGGATCTTGCGGATCACCTGTGGGGCTGCGGCCGGGGCCCATGGCAGGGAGGCCCCCGGGGCAGACCCTCCCGCCTGGCCTCTCCCCCTTCTCCCCACTCTGTGTCCCTGGTGGAGCGGGATCCCAGCCCGGGCACAGCCTGGGCCTCCTGCCTGGCCCCACGGCCCCCTCCAGCCCAGCCAGGGTGGGGGGCTTGGGCAGTAGCTGGGAGGCAGGAGGAAGCTCCCCCTTCACTCCCAGCCCCGGGACCTGTGGGGGATCCGCCGCGAGTCCTGGTCGCGGGTGAGTCAGAGGAGGGTGATGCGCTGAGATGCAGCCAGTGCACCGAGACCCTGTGCCGGCTGCCCGGTTTCCCCTGCCCGCTCACTCCCCGAGGCTCACCAGGGTGCAACCAGGGCCTGGCCCCTTATTGCGTGGGGTGAGCAGCTCCAGGGTCACTGGCCTGTCCCTAGGAACGACCGCCCGCAGCCCCGGCCGCCCTGGCGGGCCTCACCTTTGAGCAGGTCCTTGGCCTTCCTGGCCTTGTTTTCCTCCGGCCCTGGCTCTGTGTCCTGACCGCTGGCCTTGGGATCGGGGCCTGGGTCTCCCGCCGTGGGCTCCTCGTCGGGCCGGGGCACCTCCAGCATGCTGCCCTTCCTGCCCTGGGTGGGGGAGCGCCTGTCCCTGCCCGGCGTCCCCGGAGACCCCGGTGCCAGGCTCTTCCGGGGTCCCCGGGGAGAGACCGTGGGGCTCGTGGCCTTGTCCTCGGGCTTGGCGGCTTCCCTGTCAGCTGCGGCCCTCGCTTTGGGGAGAAACCTCTTCTTCCGCGCCCCCAGGGCCAGCTCCTCGGGTGTGGCTGCGGGGAGGCCCATGGGATCCCCTCTTGGGACCCCCTCATCCTGGCAGGGCTCCGGGGGGCTGTTCTCTGGGATGCTGTCATCTGAGGTGCTGTTCTGGGTGCTGTTCTCCGGGATGCTGTTCTCCGGGGCCGGCCCGCTCAGGCCTTGCTCCTGGGAAGACTTGGGGGGGCTGGGCCCCTCGAGGGCATCTTCATCCTCACCCACCACGATGGCAGGGATGGTGGCGGGGCTGGGGCCGGGGCCGGGGCGCTGGGCGGCAGCCAGGGCCTGGCGTCCGGCCTGCACCTCGTGGTCCAGGAGGCCGGTGAGGCGGCGGGAGGTGGCAGGGCTCAGCAGCAGCGTCTGCGCGCTCTGCACCAGGTGCTCATTCTCCACGCGCTCCAGAATGCGCCTCGACGTGCAGGGACTCAGCCCGGCCACAGCGGGCACCGGAGCCCCCGGCCCGCCGGGCTCCGCGCTGGACAGCTTCAGCAGCAGAAGCAGGTAGTTCTTCAGGGAGTCTATGAGGCCGGGGTCACAGCCCCGGGCTCCCGGGGGCCCCCCTTCCACCTCTGTCTCCCTGGCGCAGGCCCCCCCATGGCTGGCAGCTGAGGGCCCCCCGAGGGGGCTCTGGGCGGGGGGCCCTGGGCCCAGGTGCAGTGTGGGGGCAGAGCTGGGCAGGGCCTGGTGCTCAGAGGGCAGGAGGGCATCGGGGGCCCCGTGTGGAGACGCTGGGGTACCGTGGGGCTCTTCCTGTGAGGGCCGTGCAGGCGCGGTGAGCAGGACCTGGCTTGCATGCCCCCTTGGCAGCTCCTTGGGGCGCTGGGACCCACCATCCTCTGGGCTGGCCTCCCCTGCACCTGCCCACTCCAGGCTCCCCTCCTGAGCTGGGCGCCCGGGGCTCCCGGGTGGGGGACCCTGGGCGGTGTGCCCGTGGTTTCTGGAGGCTGTGACTAGGGGCTCCTCGGATCTGAGCGCAGGACCAGGTTTCTCGGGGTCACGACACACTTCAGGGGTCAGCACGGACTCTGCCAGCCGTGCGCTGGGTGCCTGGGAGCGCGGGGGTCCGGGGGTCCCGGGCGGCGGGCTGAGGCCGGTCGCCTTCTCGCCCTGCGCCCTCGTGTGCCCCGCATCCTCCTGCGGGGTCTGTCCCTGCTGCGTCTCCACGTCCTCGCGGCCACTCCCGGGTGCCGGCTGCCTCTCACCGTCCCGCGTCTTCCGGCCTGTCTGCGTGCTCTGGGCGGTGGCTGGCACGCTGTCCACCTGGCTCCGTGGGGCCTGTGCCCCTCCCCGGCCTCCGGGGGCCAGGGCCGCGTCGGTATCCATGGGGTCCGTGCTACCCTGCTGTGCAGCGGCAGAGGGCACGCCGCTGGCAGGCACGCGAGGAGACCTGGCAGCCTGGGACTCCGGGACCTGAGAACACAGGGACCGATGCGAAGACTTGACCTCACAGACTAGAACCTTCCTCAACACCTGACACTCCAGGGTTAGGAGAGATGAATGATATTTATCCATTTACACAGGAAGTGCTAGCTAGGCACAAGCCCACTGCAGGACACAGACTCCAGAAAGCAGGGCCTGATGGGAGCTGCCCTCCCCCTCCCCCCTCCCTTCCCCCATCAAGCCCCTTCAGCGTCCATCCCTCCTCTCCCCTCCCACCACCTGCCTCCGCTCTGTCCTCGCCACGCTTAAGTGACCTTTGTGCAACACGTGTCCGATGGGAACACCCACTCCCCAACTTAAAACTCGCGTGAGCCAGGCGCCGGTGGGTCCTGTCATCCTAGCCACTCAAAGAGCCGAGAACTGAGCGCTGATCACAGTTCAAAGCCAGCCTGGGCGGGAAAGCCCGAGACTCTCAATGCCAATTAAACATCAAAAAAAAAAAAGCTGGAAGTAGCGCTGTGGTTCAAATGGTAAGCACCAGCCTCCAGTACAAAAGCTCAGAGGCAGCACCCAGGCCCCAAGTCCAGGCCCCAGGATCCCCCCCCCCCCTCACTCCCTGCGCCCTGGGCTGTTCAGGAGCAGTAACACCAGCCTAGATGGCGGCAGGGCCGCAGCCCCGCCCACCTCAGGGGCAGGGCAGGACCTCCTGGGGTGCCACTGCCCTCACGTGGGGGAGAGATGTCAGACTTGTACTCAGGTCTGGCAGCCAGCCCGGTCATCTCCTACCTGAGCTCCCTGGGGGCCCGGGAGGGCACCCCGGACTGCCCTGCTCAGCCCCTCCGGGCGCTCCTTGTCTCCCCATGACCCCGCCTGGGACCAGGCGCAGGGACGAAAGCCACGGGCGGCCCCAGAGCCTGCTCCGGCCTCCTCGGCTGGGCCTGTGCCACTCCAAAGCCTCAATCTATTTTTATTTATTTATTTATTTTGGCAGTCATGGGGCCTGAGCTCTGGGCCTGGGCGCTGTCCCCCAGCTCTTCAGCTCAAGGCGAGCGCTCTACCACATGAGCCACAGTGCCACTTCCGGCTTTTTCTGCTTATGTGGTGCTGAGGAATCGAACCCAGGGCCTCATGCATGCGAGGCAAGCGCTCTACCACTGAGCCACCTTCCCAGCCCCTTATTTATTTATTTTTTTGCTGTACTGGGGCTTGAACTCAGGGCTCAGACACTCTCTCCCTGAGCCTCTTTGTGCTCAAGGCTACCACTGTACCACTTCCAGCTTTTCTGAGTAGTTGGTTGGAGATAAGAGTCTCAAGGACTTTCCTGCCTGGGCTGACTTTGAACCATGATTCTCAGATCTCAGCCTCCCGAATAGCTCAGATGACAGGCGTGAGCCACTGGTGCCTGGCTTCTGAAGCCTTCTGAAGTACTGTTCCCACAGCCTAACCTCAGCACCCCCTGAAGTGAGACTGAGTCCCCATCTCCCCAGAACTAGGGTTCCCCGGGATCCCATGAGCATCCTCTCCCCTCCCAAAGCTCAACTTTGCTTCCCTTCATCTTTCCCCAGGAAACCACCTGCCCCCAGCCTCAACCCAGGAGAGAGGAGCACCTCCCACCCTCCCCGGGGCCGGCTGCCAGGTCAGCCCTGCGCCTGCAGCCTGGTCCTCTGCCCCGGCTGGCATGCCCCTCCCGCCCCGTCTATAAATGGCTGCGGCCCTGGCTGCCAGGCGGGTGACAGCCAGTTTCCATGAGCTCAGCGTCCGGCCGCTCACCTCTCCCGCGGTCCTGCGGCCCTGCCCCGGGCTGCCCCGGGCGCCGTGCCTCCGCCGGGCAGGGGGCGTGGGCACCTGGCCGGAGGCTGGAGGCGGGGCTGTCCCCGAGGCCCCGGGCTCCGTGGCCGTGTTGGGGGGAGCCGTGGCCACGGGCTCCCCTTTGGGCTTCGGAGGGGCGAATCTCTTCCTGTTGAAAGGCCGGGGCGGTGGCGGCGTGAGGGAGGCTGTGGGGGGGCTGGGCACAGCGGGCGCCCCCTTGCCTCTAGCCTGGGCGTCTTCCTTCCCCGGGGGGCTCTGTCCGGGTGCCAGCGCCCCTGGGGGTGGGGACCCCGGTGCTTCCTGCGGCCTGTGGCCCTGGGTGCTCTCCATGTACATGTCCTTCAGGGAGAAATACAGCTCAGGCTCCCGGCTGGGGCCTGGGCTGGGAGCCGGGGCGTCCTGGGTCTCATCCTGAGTGGCCGCGGGCGGGGACGGCTGCCCGGTGCCCGTGCGGTGGGCTCCCGCAGCCCCGTGCGCCCCAGGCGGGGCCTGGGCCTGCTGCGTGGCCCCCGGCCCCGGGCCCCCGCGGGAGCCGGGCCTCTCGGAGCCGCGGTGCTCGGCCGGGCGCTGGCCGGGGGCCGCCCTGTCCGGCTCGGCCCTCCTCGGGCTGGGCTTCGGCTCCTCGTCTTTCCTTTTCTTCTTGGCCCCGGACTCCTTCTGGGGGGCTCTGTGCGGTCTCAGCTCCATGGCTTCACAGAGGTAGGTTAGCAAGCCTTGCTCCCCGTCCTCCCCGTTCTCGGGGGCCGGCTCCCCGTTGGTGGGCGCCTCTCCGGGAGCGAAACTGTTGAGGAGGCCCAAGCCTGCGTGCTGGGCGGACTGGGCCTCCCCTTCCTGCCAGGCCACCGGGGTCTCCTCCTCGGCCTCCCGCGCCGGGGCGGGGGGCACGGGCGCCTGGCCCCCGCTTAGTCTCCGCTTGCGCTGGAAGCGGTCGGGGCTGAGCTTGCGCAGTGCCTCGGCCTCGGCCGCGGCCTCCGGGCCCTGCCTCCAGCTCTGCCCCATCTCCCGCATCTTGGCCGCAGCCTTGCGCTTCAGCCTGGCGAACCAACGCTGGTGGATCTTGTACTCGGTCATGGTGCCCACCTCCAAGACCCCTGAGCACGACACGATGCCCTTGGAGTTCCGGGCCGAGGCCTGGTAGATGGCCGCGTCGTCTTCTTGACACCTAGAGGGGGCCGAGGGGCGAGAGCTGCTCCCTCCCCACAGAGCCTTCCCGCCCCCCCCAGCCATGCCCCACCCTCCTGTGCTTTAGAGGAAACTGAGGCTAGAAGAGAGGGGCGTTGGCCGAGGCCACGCGGGGCCCTCGGGAGCAGGTGTCGGCCCTCGTGGAGCGGGGGTGACACGGTTGCTTTTTTGGGCAGTTGACCTCATGGAAAATGTTTCTGTGGGTCAGAAGCTCGTCTGCTCACGCCACTCACTCCCCTTCCCCCACGGGCCTCGGGGGGGGGGGGGGCCGTGCCCCCCAGAGCGCGGCCGGGCGGGGCGCGGGCGGAGCGGCCCTCACCTGAACAGCTGCAGCGTGTGGCGCTTGCCCTGGTGGGTGATCTGGTACTTGGGCAGGCCGCAGTAACGGTCCAGCTCCTGGTCATCCTTGTACCATGTCACCTCCGGCTCGGGGTATCCTGAGAGGGTACAGGGCAAGGTGAGTTCTAGAACAGAGCGGACAGCCTCCAGGCCCTGGATGGTCCAGACTGGCTGAGGAGCTAGACGGGACGGGACGGGACCACCCGCCCGGCCTGCCGGAAGCCCGGAGCTCAGCTCTTCTCCAGAAACCAGAACCTGACAAAGCTGGAGCCATCTCCCCTCTGGTGGGAAGGAAAACACAGAGGAAGAAATTCCTAGCCTCCCAGTAGGAAGGGAACTGAAGCTGTTCCAGAAGTTGCTGACTAGAAGTGACCTACCCTATCCAAGTTCCTAAGCTGAATTACTTGACGACATAGCTAACACCCACCCATCTATCCATCCGTCCGTCCATCTGTCCATCCACCCATCTGTCCATCCAATACACTTGTCTACCCACCCGAGCCCTGGAGTGGGCGGGTGGAGGTTATGTACCAGCCCCTCCTCTGCCGCCCACAGGAAGTGTGGCCACCCCTCACCCCCGCCCATCAGTTCTGCTCGCTGATCTCGCGGCTCTGCCCTGGCCTCTCTCCAGCTCCTTCTCACCGCAACGGGCAGAGTGAAACTCGTGAAATGAAGTTCACCCACACGCACTCTGCCCGCGTCACTCAGCCCTTGGGGTCTGCCCCATGACTGCCCTGCTTCACCTCCTCTCTTCCCCTGTCCCGCAGTCCTGCTGGTTCCCCTCTAACACATCCCTCCACACCTCCTGGTAGAGGCCACACCGGCTGCCGGCAGAGCAGGGCCTCCCTTTCCCCAGGGCCTCCCAGGGCTCCCAATTCCTTTGTTTTCTTCCCACAGTACTTGACGTTTGACCTTGTGCAGCCGCACCTGACCCCTAGAGTCCTCTCTGTATCCATCCACCGCTGCTGGGCTCCCGGTTCCTAAACATGCACCCCGCACTGGTGAAATATTTACAAATGAAAACACAGGCCCAGGCCGCGTGCAGAGGAGGGAGCATGCGGAAGAAATGGAAAACGTGTGTTGCACACCTCTGTCTCCTTCAACTCCAGCCTGCACTTCCTCCACACATGGCCTGATGCCCTCGTCTCTCTCCTGCTAGACACAGGCCCCATGTGGGCAGAAATGGTCTCTTGTTCACTGCTACATCTCCACCACCCTTAGACAGAGCGTGGCATGGAGCAGATGCTTAGCAAAGACCTGTTGAGTCAGGTGCTGGGGCTCAACCTGTAATCCCAGCTACTCGGGGATCACAGAGACCTAAAGGATCTTAGCTTGAAGCCAGCCTGGGCAGAAATGTCTCAAGACTCCATCTCCAATTAGCCAGCAAAATGCCAGTCTGGAGGCATGACTGAAGTGGCAGAGTGCCTGCCATAGGTAAGAAAGCCAACCAAGAGTTCAAGGCCAGCGGGGACGGTGGCTCAGCGGCAGAGTGCTCACCTAGTGTGCGTGAAGCCATGGGTTCGATTCCTCAGAACCACATACACAGAAAAACCCACAAATGGCGTTGTGGCTCAAGTGGTAGAGTGACAGCCTACCAGAGAGGCCCAGGGACAGCACCCAGGCCCTGAGTTCAAGCCCCAGTGCTGACACACACAGAGCTCTGGGGAACAGGAGGAGGAGTGAGGGAGTGGGGGCAGGGCATGGACAGCGGCGGGCGGCGGGCGGCGGGCAGCGGGAGGGCAGCGCAGAGGGCACGCCGGGAAAGCGAGGGGGCAGGGAGCCGAGGCTGGGGAGCAGCCAGGGACGGCTCGGCAGCCTGGGCTGTAAGCTGAGCCCCGTGTTTCCACTGTGAGTAAAGCCTGGGTTACATCACCGCACCCGTGCCCAGTGCCAGCACAGGTGTCCGCCGTCCCGAGGGATGACCTCACCCGGCAGGACTTCCCCTCCCCCGGGACCCGCCCAGCCCCGGGCGTCTGAGTCCAGGGGGACGAGTGGGGCTGAGTACAGGGCGCGGCCCCCAGGCTGGCGCTCCCCCCCGCCCCGTGCTTCAAGGCTGCGGGGTGTGGGCAGCAATGGGGACACACACCGCGGGTCCCTGGAGAATGTCACTGATATAAAGCACACAGAGGTGGGACGGGGCTCACTCTATCCCAGCTGCACACGTGGACAAAGCCCAGCACACGCACAAGGTGCAAATGTGCGGGTACAAGCTACGTGCCAGACATGTGCATGTGCAAGGTACACGCACGGGGGTGCAAGCCGGGCACGTGCACCTACGAAGCCATGCACCTACACGCTCCTGAACAGAGAGCTCACAAAGCAGACAGGCAGGTCGGATGGACTTTGTGAGTCCAGATAGCCAAGCCCTAAGCCAGCAGTGGGAAACTGAGAGCTACCCTTTGAACACTAGAAAATCCCCAGGGCCCGAAGAGCTGGCAGCGGCGGGAGGGAGGTGCCTCCCAAGCGCTTAGAAACGTGGCTGGGAGCGCAGCAGGCACCTGCAATCCCGGCGCTCGAAAGGCTGAAACAGGGCGGTGAGTTCAAGGCTACCCTGGGCTACTTAGTGAGACCCTGTGTTATAAACCCAAACGGGCAGACGGGAGCAGCGAGGGCTCTGGGCCTGGGCCCACGCCACGGCAGCCAGAGCGCGGCTGGTGCGTGGAAGTGCGGGGCTCTGGTGGAGGGTGCGGCAGGGCGGTCTGGTGGCGTGGCGTGGCCTGCCTCGGACGAGCCCGCGCGCCCACCGCGAGCCGCCAGAGCCGCCCGCTGGGCAGCGGGCGCAGCCGGGAGCTGACCGCAGGACCCGAGAGCCGCGTCACCCTCCATCTTCTCGTAGCGGCGGGAGCTTGTGAAGGATGTGCGCGTACTAACCGCGTGAAATGGCGTTTTGTGTGTTTTGTTTTTTGTTTTTTTGTCGGTGGTGGGGCTTGAACTCTGGGCCTGGGCGCTGTCCCTGCGCTCTTCAGCTCAAGGCTAGCGCTCTACCACTTGCGCCACTTCCGGTTTTCTGGTGGTTTATTGGAGATAGGAGTCTCACGGACTTTCCTGCCCGGGCTGGCTTTGAACTGTGATCCTCAGATCTCAGCTTCCTGAGAAGCTAGGATTATAGGCGTGAGCCACCGGCACCCGGCTGCATTTCATGTTCTTTAAATGAAGGTGGAGGGGCGTGCGGGGTAGGAGAGCCCTGGGCTCTGCTAGGAAACCGGTGGGAACCGGTGGGAACCGGTAGGGACCTGTGGGGAACCTGCTGAGTGGGATGGGCCAGGATCCTACAAGGGAAGAGCAGCGTCTTCCCCGCGGTCGGCCGCCTCCTCCCTGAGCCAGGACCTGGGGCCCAGACACGCGTGAGCTGGCAGGGGGACACCCCGCGATGGGGGGCCTGCAGCCCTGAGCCAGGGTGTTGGGGGGTCTGGGAGTGAGGTGGGGGTGGGCATCCTCCGCTTCCCGCTCAGCCCGACAGACACGGGAGCCGCCCCGGCCTGCGTGCCCAGCTCTCACCGGTCCCCACGGTGCCGCGTGGGTACCCCGGCGTGATAACCCCCCCCCACGGGGGAGCGCAGCGATCACCCCCAGGGTTCAGACGAGGCGGGCAGAGGTGGTGGGGCGGGCCGCGGTGGCCGCGCTGTCCTCACCCCGCTCGCTGCCCGCCTCACCCTGCCGCGTGTCCCGAGAGGCAGCCGGTGCGTGGCGGGCGTGGCTCCTGTGGGCTGCACGGCGGGCGGGGCCTTTACCTGTGACGATGCAGGTGAACCTGACGTCGCTGTCGGCGGACACCGCGCGCGACTTGAGTGTGGTCTCGAAGAGCGGCTGCGTCTCCTCGGTGAGCTGCGCGATGACGGAGCAGAAGGTGCTCCTAGGAGAGGCGGGGCGCCGTCAGAGCCGCGCAGGGGGAGCACGCGGGGGAGGGGGAGCCAGGCAGCCCTCAAGGACGCAGGCACCCCGAGAACTCGGGACCCCCCCCAGAACTCAACAGGGCTCCACACACAGCTCCTGTGTCACGAGCACAGACCACAGCAGGCAAAACGGAGGTGGCCAGTGCCGGGGTCCTGACCCAGAAGGCAGTGGCAAAGCCAGCTGTGCCCCGGCCCCAGCGGTGGCACAGGCCAAGCCACAAGCGCACGGACTCCTTCCTGCTGGAAGCCGAGACGCTGGGTCCCCGCGACAGAGCTGCTCCTGGGACTCAGGGGCCTCTGTGGCCAGCCCGTACCCCAACAATCCTCAGGCTCACAGTCCACAGGAAGCTAACCCCCGTGCCAAACCCCGCCTGGGCCAGCAGGGCCTCCACATGCCCAGACACGAAGCACAACCACATAGCCAGAAGTGTGGCACACAAGCCGTGCCCTCCCCTGCCCCCCCACGCCCCGAGCAGCAGGGAGGATGGTGGGGGGCGGCGAACCGAGCAGCAGGACCTGGAGAAGGGCAAACCACTCTGAGACACCTTTCCCTGGGCCCCACGGGGGCGAGACCCGAGGAAGGGCCAGCTCTGTCCGTCCAGGGCCTGGTCCGGGCCGTGGAGGGCGTGTGAAGGCGTGCGGGCGGATGGCCCGCCCCTCCGGCCCTGCTGGGGGCTCTGAACTCAGGGTGGCCTTGCTGTAAAGCTCACTGCCTTTGGGGTTAATGCACCCAGGAAGAGTAGCAGCAAATCAGAGAGGCTTCCAGGCTGCGGGGTACCCGGCTGCGCTCCTCCTTGGGAATGCAGAGCCCAAGGCAGTCGGGGCCGGTCAGTGGTCTCCCCACAAATCCACCCAGCACGAGGAACTTCCTGCACCCCTGAACACCAGCTGGGCCAGTGCACCTGGCAACTCTCTTCCCCTAGAAATCGCTTGTGGAATAAACATGTTTCTTGGCTTTCTAAGTCACTCTAAAATAGAGCATGCTCTGGAACAGAGGCTATGGACTGACGTTCCTTCCTTCCTTCCTTCCTTCCTTCCTTCCTTCTTTCCTTTCTTCCTTTTTGAGGTAGTATCTTGTTGCACTGCCCAGGCTGGCCTAGATCTTATGACCCTCCTGCCTCAGCTTTCTGAGTAGCTAGGACTTGTAGGTTTGAAAACATTTCTTTCTATCATACAACTGTAATTTCTGCCTCTGGGGGCATACCAATGACATTTGCGAGAAACATCTGGGCCCAACAGAATCCAACTTCTGTGATAGCCAGACCTCTGGCCACAGCCTCCCTCCACATTGGAAATCCTACCTCGCCCACGAACGGAAGCCTGCATGTAGCAGGACAGACGGGAGCTTGGGGACATCCACAAATATTCCTCCAGCTTCTGCTCAGGTGTCTTCAAGAACACTCAGAGTCAGGAGCTGAGCATAGAGGTCTGTGCTTATAACCCCAGCCACCCAGGAGGGAAGATGAGCTTGAGGCCAGCCTAGGCTAAGTGGCAAGATTCTCTCTCAAAAACAAAACACAACAAAAAACAGGAAATGCTCTGCCTCGTTTACCCCTTTCATCCCTCTGAGTGGGAAGGACGCATCCTCCCAACTTCCTCTCTCGAGGCCCGGCCTGGCATGGGGGGCAGGCTCGGGGACCAGGCTCGGCAGCGTGGGGCGCCTCGGCTCTGAGCCTGCGGGGGGGTGGGGGGGTGGGAGGGCTCAAAAGCAAGTGTGGAGGAGAAACTCGAAGGACTGGGGGTGTGTGGGGGAGGCAGGGACGGTGCCTAGAAGGAGACGGGCACAGAGAACCCCGGGACGGGCAAGGGCACGAGGCGTGTGACCGGTGGCTGTGGCCACGGCTACTGCCCTGTCGCCACGGCATCTGTTCCCGGGGCGCGGGGATGACCTCGCACCCGTCCCAGGCCCCTCTGGACGGCCGTGCAAGCACCGTGGAGCCCCGCGTGAGGGCCCCCGACCCCATGCGGCCCGGTTAGTGTGCACGCAGTCCCCCTGCGGCCTCGGCCAGACCGAGCAACGTGACGCCGTGGCAGGTTTACCTTCCAGCGCTGGGGTGGCACAGCCGGCTGCTTGATAAGCTAAGCGGAAACAGCAAACGGAATCATTAGGCCGGGAAGCAAGGAGAGGAGGAGAGCAAACCAGCAACAGTCCACCCGCGTCGCCCGGCCGCCATCGGGGGCCAGAGGCCTGTCTGTTAGGAGGGACCAGCTGTCGCGGCCGCTTCCTGCCGGTTAGCAAGTGGCCGCCCCACTGGACACCCGCAGATCTGGAATCAAGAGCTTGGTAAGTGCGACAGAACCCGGGAATGGGTTAGCGGGCAGGAGGCTCCGGGCTGGGCTTGGAGAAAGGCGCGTCTTCGCTCCAGCGGGATCCTTGTGCCGGGTCCACGCGAGCACGCCAGCCGCGGGCCGCTGCCACCGTCCCGCACACATCCCTGGAAATCCCCAGACAAGGGGCTGTCAGCAGACAGGTGGCTTGGACAGCCCCTCCATTAATGTGTTAAAGTTAAACAGCCAGGCAGACCAGCTGGGGGAGTGGAGACAGGGAGAAAGACAAAGCAGTTAATTCAGCAGGGCTGGGGCCACCAGCTCTCTCAGACCAGCACATGGCCCGGCCTGCCTGGAGGCTGGGCTGGGCTGCGGGGCATCAGGGGCCCCTGAGGACCCCAGGGGCCGTCCTGGCTCCGGCCCTCTCCCGCCACCCCCTAGAGGAGCTCACGGAGGGGACCGCAGACCTCGGCCCCGTGGGAGATGGCAGGGGCTAACCAGCCTCCTCCCTCCGGCTGTCCCTACAGGAAAGCCCCAAGATGGAGGCTCTCATTCTTTTTGTGGTAGTCCCGGGGCTTGGACCAGGGCCTGGGCGCTGCCCCTGAGCGTCCATGCTCAAGGCTAGCCCTCTACCATTTGCGTCACAGCTCACTTCCAGCTTTTTGGTAGTTAATTGGGGACGAGAGACTCATTAACTTGGATGCCCGGGCTGGCTTCGAACCTGAGTCCTCAGAGGTCAGCCCGGTGGCTTGAGCTACCAGCACCCGGCAAAGTTCATCTCTTTGAAAACACAAAACCAAACTCACCCTCTCCCCAAAACCCAGCCGCCCATGCAGTGTTACTGGTACTGGGTTTGTGTTTACTAACAGTGTCCCCCAAACCCTGGAGCTCGGAACCCACCATCCTGGACTCCACCCTCAGCAATCCTTGGCCCGCCTCTCTCCCTTCCTCACCACGCCTGTTTGTGGTGAGTTCGAACCTGGCCCTGCGGCTCCACGTTTGTTGACCAATGCATCTCTTTAACCCCTAACAGCACTCCTTGGAACAAAATACCGCCGTACTCCCACTCAGGTCTTTGGTTCAACAGCAAAGGCCCTTCTTAATGTGCTGGTACCCCCCCCCCCCACACACACGGGGAGCCCTCCCTCCCAACGCTCAGACCGCTGGAGACCCCCGTCCCTGAGTGACGGAGACACGTCCCAGCCTTCGGGCCCTCCTTCCTGTGCTCAGCCCCGTCCCCCCCACACTGAATTCGTCTCTGGCTCTGGAGAGCTCTGTGCTGGCTGACCGTGCCCGGCACATTGTTCCATGAAGGAAGAGGCAGGGGGGAAGAGGACCAACAAGAAGGGCCGACCCTGATCCACAGAGGGTGCTGCGGCTTCTAGAAAGGATGAAGCTGGCAGGAGGCGGCCTTGCCTAGAGCCCTCGCTCCTGGGGCGGCTGGGCAGGCAGAGCTGGCTTTGGCTTTGGCTCCTGGTCCCCCTCCCTCCCCCCCCCCACGCCTCCCCTTCCTAACTCGCTCCACCCCCTTCCAGGGAACTGGGAGACAGCTCTGTTGTCTGGATCTGGTTTCTGGGAAGGATTTCTAACTTAGAAAGTGACAAGTTCTCCTGTGCAGGCGGGGCCTGAGCCCAAACCCTGCCTGACGCCCCAATCCAGCAAGGCCTGCTCACACAAGGCCCGGCAGGAGCCCGGGCTGGGCTGCTGGAGGCTCCCTGTCTTCAGAAGGGAAAATCCGCAGCCGTGTCGCTTGACCAGATCGAACCCCCTCCCCACTGCCCACCTCCGCGATGGTCAGGACAGAGCCGTCCAGAGTGGGGCAGAAGACCTTAAACAAGAACTGGAAGGGGGGGGGGGTCGCTGGGAAGGTGGCTCAGGGGTAGAGTGCTCGCCTAGCGTGCACAAAGCCCTGGGTTCAATTCCTCAGCACCATATACACAGAAAAAGCTGGAAGTGGTGCTGTGGCTTAAGGGGTAGAGCGCTAGCCTTAGAAAAGAAGCTCAGGGACAGCGCCCAGGCCGAGGTCAAGTCTCAGGATTGGCAAAAAAAAAAAAGAGCTGGAGGGGTGGCTCAAGTTGTAGAGCTCCTGCCTACCAAGCACAAGGCCCTGCGTTCAACTCCTAGTATGAAGACAGAAGCTCTGACTGATGCCTCCGTTTCCCTAAAAGCCTGAGGCCACCTGCCATACTCGAGCTGGGCAGAGGCTACGGCCTGGCCTCCCCGGAGTGAGCAGGCAGGGATTTCGGGAGCCTCTGGGTGCCCACGAAAGCTGGCTGCTCAGACCCCCTTCCCCTCAAGGGGGCAGTTCCCCCTCCCCGGCCTCCCCCACCCCTACAGATGGGGTGAAGTCCCCAAGGCAGGGTGACCAAGGACTGCCTGCGCACCTCTGACCTCTGACCTCTGAGCTAGCAAGGACTGGCCGCCCCTGGGAGAGGCTCGGGCTGGGGGGGGTGGGGGAGGGGTCCTGGAGAAACAGATCCCAGCTCCTGCCCACCGTCCCGCCCCCAGCCAGCCCATCCTCACAGGCCCCGGCCAAAGGACTCCATGATAGATCTGTGTAAGGGTGGACCCTGAAATGCTGGCGCCACAAGGAGTGGGGGCAGAATTCGCCTCTCAGTCTCCGGGTGGGCGGGGCTCAGCCAGGCAGGTCCCCGGGGACCCCTGCTCTCCATCTCCGTCTCCGCCAGCGGCACAGACCGCGCCGGCCCTGAGAGCCAAGCCTGCGGCTGCCTCCTCCCGCACCCGCAGTCCCAGGGTGCCGGAGCCCTAGGGCCAAACAAATGGGGCTCTTTACAGGGCTCTCATTTCCCCTGAAAATGTTAGGGGGCTCCATGGCCTGCTGAGAACTCCCTCACTGCTCCCGCCCTGCGCCTCTAAAGACATAAAGAGCCTCCTTCGGGAGCCTCCCGCTGGGGCCAAGGGCGCTGGCTGACATATGTGCCCCTAGCCCGACCACGTCTACCAACCACCGTCAGCCCCAGCGCCCCGTCCTCCGGTTTCCAGCCTCCCTTCCCCCCTTCCTCCCTCGCCTCTGTCTCTTCTCGTCCTGTACAAAGCCCCGCAGCGCCGTGGCCGTGGACTGTGGAGTGGGGTACAGTACATGCCCACGGTGAATTGCCGCGTCCATCTCCACAGGTCCAGACTTAGGGAAATGGGCCTTCTTTTTTTTTTTTTTCCTGGCAGCCGGGGGCCTGTGCAGTCTGACTCAGTCCCTAACCCCGGCCTCCGCCCGGCCGGCCATGTGACGCCATTGGACGGGTTTTCTGCAGAAACAGGTTCCGGTTACCCGTGAACCTTCCCAGCCCCAAGGTCAAGGGGACGTGGCCGGTCCACGAGGCACGTCCTGGATGCCAAGTTTTTTGTTTGTTTTTTGTGCTCTTTTGTGGATGGTGCCTGGGAGGACTGGGCTCGTTTTCCACATCACACACAACAAGCCAAGTGCTGGGGCTGAGGAGCGCACGCCGGCCAGGGCCAGACAGCCCCGTTTCCTTTGGAAATAGCCTGCGAGAGGGAGACTGGGCCAGCGGCGGCAGGAAGCGTCTGTCTCCATGGCAAGGCAGGTGTCCTGGGGTCTGGACTGTCTATTGTCTGGGGGGAGGGGTCCCACCACAGAGCTGAACTCCCACATCTGCTTAGCTCTTGGAAGGCCACCGAGAGGTTACCTCAACCCTCATGCACCCCAAAAACAACCTGGACAGGGCACTTGGCACACCAGAGCCAAAGCTGTCAGCCCTGCGCCCCAGGCAGGCCCAGCTCCTGAGGACACCCCCACCTCCAGTGCCTGCTCACCCGCGGCCCACCGACCCCCACAGGAATTCCAGCCCCGCCGCTGCTTATCGCGCTCAGTGGAATCTAGGCCCTGGGCAGCCAGGCTGGGGAGATAAGGAGAGCCTTGAAGTCACCCCCAAATAGGGCCTGGCCAGCCAGAGGCCTGAGGCCTTGGGGGGGGTCATCAGAATGGCCCAGGGCCAGCCCGGGGGTGGGGGTGGGGGCCAGACCCTCTGGGCCACTCACCTGGTTTCAGGGCGCACGCTGAGCAGGTAGCTGCGGCTGGCGGGGCCCGGGGTCCACACAGGCCCGTCCTCCTCGCCGTCGCCCCCTGCCCCGGTCTCAGCACGGCCCCCCAAGGCCCAGCCACGGCTCACGGCCCTGCGGGACCCCATGGCGCTGCCCGCAGCTGCCTCCCGCCCAGCTCGGTGCCCGGCGGCTCACACTCCTATTTATAGCCGGCTGTCACCTGCTGCTGTCCCTCCCGCTGCAGCCGCCGCCCTGCCAAGGGGGCTTGGGAGGGGAGGGCAGCCCGCCCACGCCCCCACCCGGGCCTCCCACTGCTGGTTTCCCTACAAGGAAGTGTCCCGGTGGAGACCCCAGGAAAGAGGGGGCCTGGGAGGAAGGCGCATGCCTGAAGGGGACACGGACGGAGCCCTCACAAAGCACTCAACTTCAGAGCAAGGTGCTGAAGACCAGTACTACCAGTTGGGAGGGAGTGTCTGTCTGTCCATCCTCCCTCGGCCAACATGCTGTCCATGCCTGAGAGCCACGGGAAGCTCAGGGACCTGGAGGGACCAGGGGGAGAGACACCGCCCCCCACCCCACCCCCACCAACCTGAGCTATGTCAAGTTCTTCACCAAAACATTCTGAGCGGAGTCTGAAGGAGAGCCAGGCCTGGGCGGCACAGCGGGGCGGGCGGGGCTGCGCCCAGGCCGGGACGGTCGCTTCTCCCTTCTGCGCCTGTGCGGTGCAGCACCCTGAGGCCCGGGCTAGGTACCCAACGCTCGCCACGACCCTCAGCCCCTCAGGATGCCGCTCCACGCCCCTCCTCCACCCGTGCTCCAGCACAGCCAGCCGGCCATGGCCAGGCCAGCCACGGCCAGGCCACGCCACGGCCAGGCCACGCCACGGTCAGGCCAGCCACGGCCTTCCTCTTCCTCTTTGCTGCCCCATCACAAGCCCACCCCTGGAACCTGGACACCTGGAATTCTCCCACCCCTTGAATGCCAGCTCCTTGCTGAGGCCGCCACTGAGGCCACCACCGCCACCTTCCTCCTGGCTCCCCCCCCACCCAGGTGCGCAGTGCAGAGTGGCTCCCCCCCATTGACCTCGCTAGCTCCAGGCAGGGCCAATGGGCTGGGTCCAGCCGAGCCCAGCGCCTCACAGACTACCCCTCACCTCCCCCCGACTCACCTGGGGGACATCGAGGACGCTGGCAAGTGTCAGCTCTGGAGAACAGGCCTCTGGTGTGCCCCAAACTCCTGCAGTCCGCCCTGCCTGGCCTCCCTCCCTGCAGCCTGCAGAGATCATCCCACGCTGGCTCCCCGGCCCGGCCCGGCCCAGCCCGGCCCTGTCACTGGCTCTGGAGAAGCTGGGCAGCCAGGGCAGGCAGGGCCGGGCAGGGCCCAGGCAGGAGCAGGGCTTCTCCGTCCAGGGACTCCATCCTGACGGGCCGTCTTCGCCCGCAGGTGCATCTGTGTGGAGGCCCCCGGCGGTGCGCCCTGTGAACGCCGGCCGGTCTCTCTCCACTTGCTGAAACACCGAGGCCCCTTCCACAGCCCCAGCACACCGTGCGGGGCCTCGTGTCCCACAGGTGATCCTCCAAGCGCCTCTAGGTCCCCCTCAGGCCACCGTGGGGACAGCGGCGCGCGGGCTGGGCACGCTCCAGATCTCGCTCTGCTTTGTTTGGCCTCCACCGGATTCCTGCCAACGCCTCAGCCGCAGACGGTCCGGGGGCGCAGGCTGCAAGCCAGCTCCTCCTGCTCCTCCTCCACCCCACTGTTCTCCTAAGCCCCTGCTTAGCTCTGACCTCCACGAAGCCCACATCTCTGCTGCTCCTGGACGCCCTGTAAGCCTCCCTTCCCGAGGACCACTCTGCAGTCCTAGGACCACTGGTCCGATCTTACCCCGAGAGCTCAAGCCCGCCAGCGTGCTGGGGCCAGGACTGGAGATGTGGCCCCTGGCAACCAGGAGCCACTCCTGATTCTGCTTGGGTTGGAAGGGGAACTGGAGGGAAGGCAAGGCTTCCCCAGCCCGCAGCAGCGTGGGCAGCTTGGGCAGCGTGGGCAGCCTGAGCTGACTGGGCCAAGTCCCCAACGTGTCTCAGAAAGACCCTCCCAGCCCAGCCTCTCCCTGCTCAGCCTCTATCTGCTCAGCCTCTCCTCATCCCCAAGTCTTTTGTGTGGCCGGCTTCCTATCTAAGCCTTCCCTTTCCTCTACAACTACATGTTCTCACTGCTGAGAAAGCTGGACGACATCCCAGAATGGCTGCTCACCAAGAGCGGCCACCAAGAATCAGGTGTGACCTCCACTGCTACCCTGAAGCCCGAGTGCAGTCTCCCGCCTGCTTCTCCACTCCTCTTCTGGAGGAAGGGAGCGGCTAGGGATTGAACTCAGGGCCCCACAGGGTAGGCCAGGGCTCTGCCACCGAGCCACACCCCAGCCCAGAGAGGAACATTCTGTTCTCTTCCCTGTCTCGGCCTCTTCACTGTCCACCCGCCCGCTCTCCTCCTTCTGTAGTTTTTTTTTTCTTTTTAGCCAGTCCTGAGGCTTGAACTCAGGGCTTGGGCTGTTCTTGAGCCTCTCTGTACTGAATTCTAGCACTCTACCACTTGAGCCACAGCGCCACTTCTGGCTTTTTCTGTGTATGTAGTACTGAGGAATCGAACCCAGGGCTTCATGCATGCTAGGCGAGCACTGTACCACTAAGCCACATTCCCAGCCCTCCTTTTGCCATTTTTTTTTTTTGGGGGTCTGGTCGTGGGGCCTGAACTCTGGGCCTGGGCGCTGTCCCTCAGCTCTTCAGCTCAAGGCTAGCACTCTACCACTTGCGCCATAGCGCCACTACCAGCTTTTTAATTTTTGCTTATGTGGTGCTGAGGAATTGAACCCAGGGCCTCAGGCATGCAAGGCAAGCGCTCTACCACTGAGCCACCTTCCCAGCCCCATGTAGTGGGAGTATAATTTTTGTTTTTGTTGGGCACTGTCCCTCAGCTCTTCAGCTCAAGGCTAGCGTCCTACCATTGAGCCACAGCGCCACTTCCATCCTTTTGCCACTTTTAAACCGTATCCAAAGCCCTCACCAAGACCAGTTTGGGGAGCTCAACCCCCTTGGCAAAGAGCCTCCTAGAAGGCAGAGTGCATTGGAGTAAGGGGGTTCCAAGCAGATTGTCTATGAACTAGAAAAGCCCAGAGAAAATTATATATGTAAATGGGGAAAAAAAGCAAGCTTCAGAACGCGGTGTATAGAATGCTACTGCTTGTATTAAAAATAGATATATAAATATACATATTTATAAACTTGTAAATGCATAGAATTACTCTGAAAGGGTACACAAGACACAGGCAACAGTGACTGACAGGATGGGGGGCGGGACTAAGGCGCCGATGTTCCTGGGAGTTTACTTTTTGTCATATATTCTTCTGTACTGGTAAAATCTCACCATGGATATGCGTCTGGTTTCCAAAACAAACACAAAAATGAGAAACTGCCACTGCAGAATGTACAGAAGGGAGAGAACAGGGTGCCTCAGTCTTAGGGACAGAAAGCACGGAACTTAAGTTTGAAAAGCCAGACTGTGTACATAAGTTAAGGGGAAAGTTCTTTCTACAACAATTGGCATATCATTTTACAGAGATAAAGCACTTGGAGAATAAATACTAGTCATTCCTCGGCCTCACAGCACAGACAGGTTCGGATCTTCCACGCCCGTCCCAGCCAGGCTGAGTCTGACCCCACAGGAGAAATCAGAGGAGCTGCAAGGGTTAGGAACCTTCTAGAGGGTCCTGGATGGCAAAGGAAACCCCCAGGAGGACGGACGGTGGGGTTGCTCACGGGCCTCATGCAGGAGCAGGGTCAGCAGGGCCCTCCTGGGGCTGGGGGAGGCATGGGCGCCCGGACAGGACCCCTGCTGTTTGGGAAGTCGGGGACAGCTGGAGGCTGTCACTGGGCGTCGCCATCTCCGTTTCCTCTCTGTCAAATGGGGGAATGGCTGAGGTCTGAGGACTAACTGGGTCCTGCTGTCACACCTACTAGATGAGCGGGTGTGAGGCCATCTTGAAGGGGAGCTGCACGCCCAGGGGCTTGTGCGGAGGGGGGCTGGGAGCACTGGGGGTTCTGAGGGCGGCCCCCGCCTCTCGGGGCGCAGGGAGCCGCAGGCAGCTTACCTGCCATCTCCCCCGTCCCGGCTGTGAGGGGGAGGGTGCAGGCGCCGGCCCTGTCAGCCTCCGACCTTGCTCTGGACGCTGAGGCGGGGCGGTGGGTGCCGGCGGGCAGACGGAAGGAGGCCGGAGCGTCACGGCCAGCGGGGTGAGGCCAGGGCCACCCTGCCAGCACCAGCAGGGAGGAACGGGGCCAGCCTCACCTTCCCACCGAAAAGCGTGGCAGCTGACAGAGACAAACGCGCACTGCTTGGGTTGTGGAGAGCTCCGGCAGGATTCCCTCCCCTGGGAGCCCGCAGGCCGCTTGGGGGGACCGAGGACCTGGCTGGCACCTCGCCCGTCCGGGCAGGACAGGCCTTCCCCAGCCCAGGGCCGGCCCACCCCTGGCCTGGACTCTCCTAGGTTTTTGCAGGAACGAGGGCAATGACAGGCTTCCAGGCCCAGAGACGCGGGGCGGCCTAGCTGCAACCCCGACCCTGCACCCAGCCCTGCAGAGCCAGAGGACCAGGCGCCCCCACCCATCTCCTTGGACGGGAAGCTCTATTCTAGAAGGGATGGACAAGGACCCTCCAGTGGAACAGGGAGGCCAGGCGCCCCCAGAGGAATACAAGAGCCTACCTGTGCGGCAAGAAGATTTTATTTGAAACATAGTCTGAGCAACCGAGTGCGGCCGGAGGCGGGGGCTGCCTGCCGGGCCGGCCCTGAGTGACGACACAGCTCCCCACGGCCGTGGGCAGCGAAGGCCTGCGCACCCCTTCCGGAGGTGTCCAGGTCTTGGCACCTGCCCGCCACGGCCATGCTGCCCGCCCGCCCCTCCAGCTCCACGCGGGCGCAGAGGGACAGGCAGGAAGGGCAAGGTGACCCAGGCCTTGGGGTGTCGACCCCCCTCACTCCCCTCTTCCTGGGCCCTGAAGGCAGGAAGGAGAGCTGGTGTGTGCAGGCAGGGCCTGAGGACACCCGGGCTGAAGGCAGCAAGCGGGGACCAGAAAGCTCAGCGGCTGAGGGGGGCGGTGCACCAGGGCGGCAGAGCCCCCGGATGGCAGAGCCGCCGGGGTGGCACAGCAGCCAGGGCAGGCCATGGGCCGCAGTGGAGACCAGGAAGCAGCACAAGGCCATAAATAACAGAAGCAAACGCAGAACAGAGGGTCCAGGGCCATCCCGTGTTTCTGGGCAAGGGGACACAAACCCACGGCTCAGGTGGGCCCCGCACCCCGCACCCCGGCCACACCCTCCAAAGCTGGCGATGGGCCCCGGACCAACCTGACCACACACGCCCAGCCGCGGGTCACACCTGAGGGGACAGCGCGGGGCTGTCCTGGTCCTGAGAAGCCCGCAGCCGGCTCTGGGCATCGCGGGCGCCACCCTCGGTCTGGGCTACGCCCAGTGACCTCTGAGCCTCGGGGGCAGCCCGCAAGGGCTCTGCCGCACAGGCTTCTAGTCCATTCTCCCTTGTTTCCATGGCCACCTCCTCCCCAGAGCCTTCCTGTGGATCTGCAGCCTCCACCTTCACCTTCACCACCTCCTCCTCCTCCTCCTCTTCCTCCTCCTCCTCCTGGTCTCTCACTTTGTGGACGATGAAGAGGTGGCGGCTGAGGGAGCTGGTGGATGTGTAGCACAGGCCGCACAGGAGGCACTGGGCCGTGGAGCTGTCCACGTGGTGCTGAGGTACGTGGCTCTGAAACTCCGGCTCTGAGTCCGTGGCAAAGCCACATTTTGCACACTGGAAAAGCGACTTGTGCCTTTTGGTGGAAGACGCGGTGGTGCCGTTGCTGGTGCCCGGGGCATCGCCTGTGCCGACGGCTCTTTTCAGCCGGTTTGCCTGGGGGAGGGCGGGGGCTCAGGAGGGCGCCGGGCGCTCTGCCAGCCCCACACCCACAGCTCTGAGGACCGGGGCCGCCCCATGCCCGGGCGTCGCGGGGCACTCACCTGTGGGGAGCGGCCGCCTGGCGGTGTGACTTTGGACGTGGGGCTCAAATCGGGGCTGCGGATGCCGTGCATAAGGCTGACGTGGCTCTGCAGGAGCGAGGGCCGAGGGAAGCTGGGGCTGTCCTCCACACAGTACCTGCGGAGCACAGTGCCCGGCGGGTCTGGGCGTGCCCAGGGCTGTGGGGAGCAGCGCTCCTGCAGGGCGGGCCAGGGGCAGAGAGCAGCAGGTGCTTCCCGGGAGCTGGCCCTGGGCCCACAGGCCAGACTGGCCACGGGAAAGACCCCTAGGTCCTGGCGGCACGGGCAGGCCTCTCCCCGACCCTTCGCCTTGGAACCCAGCGCTATGGCGGAGTGGCCAGAGCCCTTCCCGCCCTTGGTCTCCCGGGAGAGGCCCCTCGGGAGGGCGGGCAGTGGCTCCGCGGGGGGCACCGCGCAGGGGCGGGCACTCACCCGCAGGTGTAGACCTTCCTCGCGGTGTCGTGGTTGTTGCGGATGTGCTTGCGCAAGCTGCTGGGCGTGTGGAAGGACTGCCCGCACTGCCGGCACGGGTGCCGCCGCAGCGTCTGCGGACAGGCAGCGCGCTGGGTTACGGCCCTGACCGTGCTGCCACCCAGGGGTCCCCGCCTCCCGGGCACTTACCCGCCCGTGGCTCTTCTTCATGTGGGACACATAACTCTCGCGGTCCGGAACCCACTCCTGGCACTCCTGGCAGGTCCACCCCGAGGCCCTCAGCCGGGGCCTCGCGTCAGCCCTGCGGTGGGCGTCTGGCCGGCCCCAGCGGCTGGAGGGCAGGGCGCTGCCTCGCGCGGCCACGCTGGGGGCCGGGGGCTCTGCAGGGGGCCGCGGGCCGGGGCGGCTGGAGGACGCGTCCCCCGAGGACTGCAGGCTGGACAGCTCCTCCACGTTCCGGGGAACACCGTGGGTGACCTGGGCAGGGGACGGTGCAGGGTGAGCGCCTGGCCAGGCCTCCCTCAGCCTCCCCCCCCCCCCCCCGCCTCAGGCTCCCCCTCCCCCTCCCCCCCCCCCGCCTCAGGCTCCCCCTTCCCCTCCCCCCCCCCCCCCGCCTCAGGCTCCCCCTTCCCCTCCCCCCGCCTCAGGCTCCCCCCCCCCCCCCCCCCGCCTCAGGCTCCACCTTGACCCCCCCCAGGCTCCACCTTGACGTGCTGCACCAGCTCGGGCTTCTGCGGGAACAGCAGCGGGCACTCGGGGCACTTGAACACACTGGTCTGCGTGGCGCTGATGTTCTGGTAGAAGTGCTGCTGAATGTGCCTCTTCTTGTTGAAGATCATCTCACAGGAGCACTTGTAAATGAGCCTGGTGAGACAGGGCCGGGTCAGAACAGCAGTCCCTCCACCCCACTCTGGCAGGGGCACCCCGCCCTGCACTCACTGGGAGGGCCTGTGGGGCTGGGCCGGGTGCTGGGCGGCGCTGTGGTCCGCAGTGCTGCTGGCCGTCTTGAAGGCCATGGGGCAGAACGCACACTTGTGGAAGACCTGGCAGTGTCGCTCCTGGATGTGGCTCTTCAGCAAGGCCAAGGTCAGGTGGACAACCCCACAGTGGATGCACCTGGATGGGAGACGGGGGCGTTAGAGGTGGGGCGGGTTGAGGGGGGCCCCGGCACTGGGCTTCCCCAGAGCACCCTGCCCTGTCGTGCCTGGAGGCGAGGTGAGGAGAAAGCCCAGCCCAACCTGGCGGCCAGGGTGCCTTTCTGCCAGTCAGAGTGCAGAGAGGCCGGGAAATGCCAGGAAAGAGGCCTAAGTCCAGGCAGGATCCCAGAAGGCCACGGGCTGGGGCTGGGGCGGCCGCCAACCGCTGGGAATGCGGGCGGGCGGGCGCGACAGTGTCCCACAGGGTGGGACTCAGTGTGGGAGGTCAGTGCGGCTGCTCAGTTCCACATTCCAGGGGCCCAGTAGTCAAGGGCCAACGCCACGCTCGCCGCAGGACAGTGCCATCTCTTCTCCATTGCAGAATTCTGACCACTCTTCCCTCTTCCTTTTTGAGAAGGTGCTTGGGGGTGAGGTTCAAAGAATCGCCACTGCACACAATTAGCAAGGAGCAGGGGTTGAGCATGAGGGCTGCTACAATAGATTCTGAGGAGCACTCACAGGAGACGGACGCACGCTTCCATAACACATTTTTCTAGGGCTGGCATGTGTCTGTAACCACACCTATGGGGGGAGGCAGGCTCAAGCTAAGCCCAGGAAAAAAGTGAGGTCTCATCTTACCCAGCAAGCCAAGCACAGAGTTGTACATATGTGATCCCAGTCCTAGGAAGGCACAGGTAAGAAGATAATGGTCTTGAAAGACCCTACATAATAAAGCAAGAACAAAAAACCCCAGCTAGGGACATGGCTCAAGTGGTAGAGTACCTGTCGAGCAAGTACAAGACCCTAGGTTCAAAGCCTAGTATCATTAAAAAACTCACAGTATCTCTGGGCTGGGAAGGTGGCTCAGTGGTAGAGCGCTTGCCTTGCATACATGAGGCCCTGGGTTCGATTCCTCAGCACCACATAAACAAAAAGAAAAAAAGCCGGAAGTGGCGCTGTGGCTCAAGTGGTAGAGCGCTAGCCTTGAGCTGAAGAGCTGAGGGACAGCGCCCAGGCCCAGAGTTCAGGCCCCACGACTGGACCCAAAAAAAAAAAAAAAAAAAAAATCATCTTAAAAAAAATTCACAATATCTCTAAACAAGCTACTTACTTTCTCAATATTTCTAAACAAGCTACTTACTTCTAGTTCTGCTGAATAAAGTAATGAAATCTGAGGAGGAAAAAAATCAACATATTTCTAAATACATCCAGTGCCAGGTAGACGCGATCTAGGGAAAGCAGCTCCCTCCCTCCCCGTCACATGACCTACTGGCACATTTTCTCTCCTGGCTTTATTTGTCCAGTTTGACTAAATTCCTGCAGAAATGAAATAAATCTATTCTTCAAGTGCTACTGAAGATTCATCCATTCATTTCTCTAGCAGCTGACCCTTTGGAAATCTTACCGAGAACAGAGGTAAGAACAGAAGTAAGAAAACACATGTAGCTGGGTGCTGGTGGCTCACGCCTGTAATCCTAGCTACTCAAGAGGCTGAGATCTGAGGATCGTGGTTCAAAGCCAGCACGGGCAGGAACATCCGTGAGACTCTTGTCTCCAATAAGCCACTAGAAAACCGGAAGTGGCACTGTGGCTCAAGCGGTAGAGAGCCCATCTTGAGCTGCAGCGCCCAGGCCCAGAGTTCAAGCCCCACGACCAACAAAAAGAAAACCAAAAAACAAAAAAAAAAACAGTGAAGCTGGGTGCTAGTGGCTCACACCTGTCATCCTAGCTACTCAAGAGGCTGAGATCTGAGAATCGAGATTAAAAGCCAGCCTGGACAGGAAAGTCTGTGAAACTCTTATCTCCAATGAACCACCAGAAAGCCGGAAGTGGCGCAAGTGGTAGATCACTAGACTTGAGGTGAAGAGTCCTATGACCAACAACAACAACAATAAAAAATAAATAAATAAAAATCAAGTAATTTGGTACTGGGGGAAAGCAAAGGAAGGGACGACATTGTCCAAAAGAGAAATGTACGTATTACCTAGACTGCGAAACACCCTTGTGTATAACCTTTTTTTTTTTTTTTTTTTTGCCAGTCCTGGGGCTTGAACTCAGGGCCTGGGTGCTGTCCCTGAGCTTCTTTTGCTCAAGGCTAGCGCTTTACTACTTGAGCCACAGCACCACTTCTGGCTTTTTCTGTGTATGTGGTACTGAGGAATAAAACCCTGGGCTTCATGCATGCTAGGCAAGCATTCTACCACTAAGTCACATTCCTAACCCTGTATATACTTTATTTATAACAATAGAATTATATTTTAAAAATTTGGTATACTCTTTAGTATGGCTCAGTGAGATTAACACAGGTGTCTCTTTAGAATTCACCAAACATTAGCTTCAAAAGAATAGGAAGAAGTATTTACCATTCAAAATTTAACAAGGAACTTATTAGGTTATTATTATTATCCAGAATAGATATTTTTTTAAACTCTCACAACTCATTAAGATGTCAAATGAACCAGCTTGTAAAATGGGCTAAGGACCTGCATAGACAAATCTCCAAGGAAGAGACACAGCAGTTGGTGCTCAATACCTCTACCATCAGAAAAAAGGGAGTAGTAAATTGAGAAAGGGCAGGAAGAAGAGGGGAGGGGAAGGAAGGAAAAGGAGGGGAGTTAGAGGAAGCTGTCAATCTGTCCAATGTTTACACCAAGTCTGAAACCTGGTACTCCCCACTGAGCCTTCCTGGTCAGGAAATCTTCATGCTGCGAATTCCCAAACCCTTTCAAATCTAGCTTCTCTCGGGCCCCATGGTGGAGGCTTCTCGGAGGCAGCCTCCAGTGCGAATCAGCTTCTCAACCACCCAGGTCACAGGTCTCTCTCCAGGTGCTTACAGTCGTGGCTTCAGTCTTCCCTTGGTCTGGGGACACAGGGCGTTCTAGGGCCGGGCCAGCCGCTCCTGGCCGGCTGCTCACCCCCAGCCCAGGCTGCCTGACAGGCGTCCAACCACTGCTTACTCCGTCAGCTCAGCTCACGATGCTTGCTGTCTCCCTTCCTGCACCCTTGCCAATATGCTCTCCTCTTTCTTCTGCCGGTAAGTCCCGGCTTGCTTAGAAAGCCTTCCTGACAAGTCCGATACAGTGAGTCCTGTGAGCCGACTGAAGTACCCCTCCTTGAAGTTGAGAGCTTGTTGTTAATTTTAGAGACAAAGGCTCCTTACACTGCCCAGGCTGTCCTTAACCCTGTGTTCTTCCTGCCTCAGCCTACCCTGTGTAGGAATTACAAAGCATGCCTCTAGCCGGGCGCTGGTGGCTCACAGCTGTAATCCCAGCTACTCAGGAGGCTGAGGTCTGAGGATCACAGTGGGAAGCCAAGCAGAAGAATTAACCAGCAAAAAGCTGGACATGGAAGCATGCCAGGAGAAGTAGTACCAGCCTCCACTGCAAAAGGTAAGCAAGAGCATGAGGACCTCAGTGAAAGCTGTGTCAGCTCACACATGCACACGTGTGCACACGCACACACACGCGTGTGCACACACACACACACTTGGTAGAATATTCGTTCCATTCTTCTTCTCCCGGTTCACACTGCACAGGGTTTGTTGGCATTGGATCTATTTATACCACCCAAATTTTTTTGTTGTTGTTAAGTCGTGGGGCTTGAAATTTGGGGCTTGGCGCTGTCCCTCAGCTCTTCAGCTCAAGGTGAGTGCTCTACCACTTGAGCCACAGCGCCACTCCTGGTTTTCTGAGTGGTTTATTGGAGATAAAGAGTCTCACAGCCTTTCCTGCCCAGGCTGGCTTTGAACTGTGATTCTCAGATCTCAGCCTCCTGAGTAGCTAGGACGACAGGCGTGAGCACCAGTGCCTGGCTCTATACCACCCAAATTCTTGTCCCATGGGTTAAGACCAAACCTCAACTTGTCACAGTGGTTTAGACCTGTGACCCCAGCAACTGACATGGCCACACCACAGTCCGAGATTGGCCAGGGCAGTGTTAGCATGAGGCTCTACACGAAAACCCAACAAGCACAAAGCTCAAGTGGCAGAGCCCCTGCCTCACAAGCTCAAGGCCCCGAGTTCAAATTAAAGCAAAACTAAACCAAAAAGGTCAAGCCCAAATGTTAAGCTCCAGCCTGGGGAGAGGACCGGGCGCCGGGGCGCGGCCGGCAGCACCCACCTGTAGCCCACCTTGCGGGCGTAGTGCAGACAGTTCTCCTTCACATGGGTCTGGAAGTAGGCGGAGCGGCAGAGGACCCCGCACTCCGGGCAGCAGTAGGGAGACTTGTGCGCGTGGACCCTCTGGTGGGCACAGAAACTGCACTGGTTGGGCAGCAGCATCTGGCACACTTGGCAGGTCTAGGGAAGACACCGAGAAAGCAGGTGATGTGGGTGGCAGGTGCGGGGGGGGGGGGGGTCCGCCCCTCCCAGCATCGCTGGTGCTACTGCGGGTCCTCGTTATGAGGGCTTACATGGGCACTCTACTCTGTACGTGCCGCCTTGTGAGGCCTAGGCCTTTCCTGGGCCACCACACGGCTGGGGCCGAACGACCCCACCTGCCTCCTGGAGGAGCCAGAAGAGGACACTGCTCCCACAGCGCACTCCCCACTGAGGAACCGCGTGCCTGGGCCACAGGAGAGCCTGGGGGAGAGCTCTGCTCCCAACCAAGAGTGCGGCGTGAGGAGGTGGTGGTTCAGCTGCAGTCCCAGCCCTCGAGAGGCTGAGGCAGGAGGGTTGCAAGTTCAAGACTAGCCTGGACAACATGAGCGGGGGCGGGGAGGCAAGGAAAGAGGAAGGCAGGGAGGCTCTACTTTAAAAGTGCGGCCCGGGGCTGGGAAGGTGGCTCAGTGGTAGAGCGCTCGCCTTGCATGCACGAGCCCTGGGTTCGATTCCTCAGCACCACATAAGCAGAACAAGCCAGAAGTGGCGCTGGGGCTCAAGTGGTAGAGCTCAGCTGAAGAGCTGAGGGACAGCGCCCAGGCCCAGAGTTCAGGCTCCACGACTGACCAAAAAAAAAAGTGAGGCCCACTACAAATGTATCTTTGTCCATTGCTCCCTTTAAAAGTCTTTTTCCAAGCTCACATCTGTAAGCCTAGCCACTAGGGAAGCTAAGTTTGGGGGATTATGGTTCAAAGCCAGCTCAGACAGGAAAAGTCCCTAAGTCTATAGGCTCCAATTAACAAAAAGCTAGAAGTGGAGCTGTGGCTCAAGTAGTAAGAGTACCAGTACTGAGAAGAAAAAAAAAAAAGATAAAAGCTAAGGGACAGGCCCAGAGTTCAAGCCCCACGACTAACAAACAAAAAATGGATTTGCCAACACAAAGATTCACCGACACACTTGTTTCTACACTGGATTATTCAGACCAGCTAGGACATGGAAGAAAGGCAAGCCACCAATAGATGAACGGCTCACCAAAAAGTAGGCTATGTATGGACACGCATGCACGCACATGTACACACACACACACACACACACACACACACACACACACACACACACACACACACACACACGGTTTGGGTATTTTTTTTTCCTGTCAGTCCAGGGGCTTGAACTCTGGGCCTGGGTGCTATCCTTAAGCCTCTTTGTGCTCAAGGCCAGAGCTCTACCACTTGAGCCATGGCACCACTTCCTGCTTTTTCTGAATAGTTTACTGGCAATAAGAGTCTCAGAATTTACTGCCCAGGCTGGCTTCCAACCACAATCCTCAGGGCCCAGCCTTCTGAGTAGCTAGGATAATAAGTATGAGCCACCAGCACCCAGCTCTGTGCTCTTTTGCTCAAGGGGCTAGCACTCTACCACTTTAAGCCACAGCACCACTTCTGGTTTTCTTATGGTTCACTGGAGATTCAAACTGCGATCCTCAGATCTCAGCCTACTGAGCAGCTAGGATGACAGCCGTGAGCCACCGGTGCCTGGCTGGGAATTTTTTAAGGTAGGGTGCCCCTATGGAGCAAAGTTGGTTTTCAATTCCAGGTCCTTCTGGTGCCGGAATTATAGGTGTCACCTGTAACTACACCTGGCTGTCTTCTAAAAGAAGGAAATTCTGACATATCTATTACCTGGGTGACGAGGACCTATTCAGTGAAGCATTCACAAAAGAACCCCATCCCTGAGAGACCTAGGGCAGCCATTCAAGAGACAGAAACACAACTGTGCTTGGGGTTGGGGTAGAGAGGAAAATGGGGAGTTGCGTCTAGTTAGGGCACAGGTTTTATTTTTTATTTATTTTTAATCGGTCCTGGGGCTTGAACTCTGGGCCTGGGCGCTGTTCCTCAGCTCTTCAGCTCAAGGTGAGTGTTCTACCACTTGAGCCACAGCACCCCTTCTGGTTTTCTAGTGGTTTATTGGAGGTAATAGTCTCATGGAGTTTCCTGCCCGGGCTGGCTTTGAACTGTGATCCTCAGATCTCAGCCTCCTGAGTAGCTAGGATGACAGGCGTGAGCCACCAGCACCCAGCTCACAAGGTTTTATTTTTGACAATTGAAAGCATTCTGGAGATTTGGTTATGCAGCATTGAACATATTTGAGAGGAAAGGAAAGGAAACCTTAAAAATGAAACTGTATCTGTGCCTTTTGCCACAATGTTAAAAATATTAATAGCAGAGGATCTCTTAAAGTACCACTAGATCGGCAGGGATCAACTGGCTACTTCATTAAAGGGAACCAATTATCCCATTTCACAACAGGAACTCTATTTCAGAGAAGCCTAACGGCTTACTGAAAGAGGGAAAGCTATTTTATACAGAATCCCAGCTTCTATGTGAGAAAAACACACCTTGCAGCTCCTAATAAAATTAGACTCAAACAGTGATTACTGATGATTCTAAATCATTAGTTAAAACGTGGACACTTTGGCTAATACAGCTCACACGGGTTGCCCTGGACACTCAGGCTGTAGGGGGTCGGGGTCGGGTTCTAGGCCCCAATTTCAATAGAACAAGCTGAGTGGGTGAACACAGTCCAGGCCACTGGGGCAGAGACCTACTGTGCTCTGCTCATAGCAAAAAGGCTGAACATGGGCTCAATCAGCAGATCACTGGGGGGCGGGGGGGGAGGGAGAGGGACAGAGGGAGAGAGGAGGAGAGAGGGAGAGGAGGGAGAGGGAGAAAGGAAGAGAGGAAGAGGGGGAGGGGAGAAGGGAGGGGGAGGGGAGATAGGGAGCTTTATAATGAAGAGGTCTGAATTACCACACTACTCAGGTCACTAGCATGAGAAGTAAGTCTTGCAGATACTTAAGTGTCTCTTGTAGTGGTGAAGTAGGAGGAATACCTCAGCCTCCTGTCCTCATCAAAGCGGGATCTGAATTGAATTGGGTCTTTATTGCTAGGTTATAGTCTACAAAACAAAGAGTAAGGGGGGCTGGGAAGGTAGCTCAGTGGTAGAGCGCTTGCCTTGCATGCCTGAGGCCCTGGGTTCGATTCCTCAGCACTACATAAGCAGAAAAAGCCGGAAGTGGCGCTGTGGCTCAAGTGGTGGAGCGCTAGCCTTAAGCTGAAGAGCTGAGGGACAGCGCCCAGGCCCAGAGTTCAGGCCCCACGACCGGACCCAAAAAAAAAAAAAAAAGAAAAAAGAACGCCGGTGGCTCACATCTGTCATCCCAGCTGTGGATGAGACTCTTATCTCCAATTAACCACCCAAACAAAAAGCCAGAAGGAGAGCTGTGGCTCAAGTGGAAGGGTGCTAGTCTTGAGCAAAAGCTCAGGCCCTCCAGGGTGGGCATGGCGGCCGGGCGGCAGGGCTGTCTGCCCACCGGGAACGCACCTCCCTGCAGGGGCAAAGGGCCTGGCAGCCCGTGCAGTGTCTTTTCTTTCTGGACCTCTTTCATAACTATATTGTCACCACGAGTGATAAAGTTAATAACAATTCTTCAGTGTTACCAAATGCAGGTCTACATTCAAATTTCCCCAATTACGTAAAAAAATATATTTGAGTTGAACCTTTTTCCTTTCCTTTTCTTTTTTGTTGGTCGTGAGGCTTGAACTCCCTGAGCTTTTTCTGCTCAATGCTAGCGCTCTACCACTTGAGCCACAGTGCCACTTGTGGTTTTCTGGTGGTTTATTGGAGATAAGAGTCTCATGGACTTTCCTGCCAGGGCTGGCTTTGAACTGTGATCCTCAGATCTCAGCCCCCTGAGTAGCTAGGATGACAGGTGTGATCCACCGGCCTGAAGCCTGGGCACTGCCAGGGAGCGCAGGGCACCAGCACAGGCCTGTTCTTGGTCCAGAGCGCCAGCTCCCTTCCTTGGGACTGGGAAGTCACGCTGAGCGGTGGATTTTGCATCTGACAGCCTGGGCGCTCTGGTCCGGCTCCCCAGGGGAGAGGGGTGAGAGGGGCCCAGCCTGGAGCCCTGCACCCTGACCTCCACTGCGCACTGGGAGGATGGGTGAGGGGCAATATGGAAAAGCCCCTGCTGAAGCCCCTTGGCTAAGTCGCTATGAGCCATGGGAGGCAGGGGTGCTCCTCACACCCCCTCCCACACCCTCCTCCCCCCTCCCCCAGCCAGCAGCCGCCCCAGCGGCTCCAGAGCCCACATGCTGCTCAGCTTCCACCCAGGCCTCTGCTGGGCCGGCTGGGTGGGTTTGTGAGGACCTTCTGTCCTCTTTGTTCTGGGGCTTGAACTCCAGGGCTCACTCTTTAAATGGCTGGTGCTGTACCATGTGAGCCATACCTCCACTCCTGGCATTTCGGTGATTAATTAGAGATAAGAGTGTCAAGGATTTGTGTACCTGGGATGGCTTTTAACCTTAGTTCTCAGATCTCAGCTTCCAGAGTAGCCAGGCTTAAAGGCTTACGCCACCAGTATCTGACATCACTATTATTATTATCCAACCCAGTGCCTGGGTGCTTTCCCTGAGCTTTTTTCCTCCCCCTCAAAGCTAGCGCTCTACCTCTAGAACCACAACTCCACTTCTGGCTTTTTTGGTAGTTACCTGGAGGTAAGAGTCTCCTGTGTTTTCCTGCCTGGGCTGGCTTCAAACTGCAATCCTCAGATTTCAGCCTCCTGAGTAGCTAGGATGACAGCTGCAAGCCACCAGCACCCCGGCATTATTATTAAACAAGGACTCATTATGTAGCTCAGGCTGGCCTAGAACTTGTAGTCCGCTAGCCACTGTCTCTTGACTATTGAGATTACAGGAATACATAGCCACACCTGGCTGGAGGCCTCTTTCTTGATGGGAACAATTAATGCAGAGAGCCGCTAACACAGAGGACACCAAAGGGCATTCTCAGCTCCCGGAAGATTCTTAAAAACAAAACACAACAAAAACAAAACAAAACACCCCCATCAAGTTGGGTGCTGGGAGGCTCACCCCTGTCATCTTAGGACATTCAGGAGGCCGAGATCAGAGGACAGTAGTTCAAAGTTAGCCTGGGCAGAAAAGTCTGAGAGATTCCATCTCCAATTAACCAGCAAAATGCTGGACTTGAAGCACAGCTCAAGTGGTAGAGTGCCAATGTGAGCAAGCAAGAGCAGGTCTTGAATTCCAGTCTCGGCCTCAGCACAAAAACACAAAACAGATCTTAAGCACAACTGAAAACAAGCAGATAAGCCAACTGCCTTCCTGAAGTGTTGTAAACATGGGTGCAGGGGAAGGGTCTGGAAACTTCTGCTACAAGGAACACATATCCGTCCACCGCCCTCCTTCTAGCTCGGGCCTGCCTCTGCCTGGTGAGGTGCTCCAAAGGGAGCGTGTCTACGAGAAGGCACGGGGACCTTGTGAAGACACAGTTCCGAGAAGAGACAGAGGCAAGGGGCCAGTAACTCACCTCCTTCCGCCCCCACGCAGAAACCATGAAGGCCCCTTCCGAGACCAGAAGAGAGGAGACCATGCAAGAAAAGCCCACAACCCCTCACAGCCACTGGAGGCAGAGTCGAGGAAAACGGCATGTCCAAAATATACTTGCTGATCATTTCTCTTTTTCTTTCTTTGCCTGTCCTGGGCTTGAACTCAGGGCCTGGCACGGTCCCTGGGTTTCTTTTGCTCAAGGCGAGCGCTTTACCACTTGAGCCAGGGCACCATTTCTGGCTTTTTCTGTGTATGTGGTGCTGAGGAATGGAACCCAGGGCTTCATGCATGCTAGGCGAGCACACTACCTCTGAGCCACCTTCCCAGCTCTCTCATTTTTTTGAGACGGAGGTCTCACTAGGTAGCTCAGGGTGGCCTCAAATGGACGATCCTCCTGCCTTAGCCTCCAACATGCTGGGATTACAGGCATGCACACCACACTCGGCTCGACTTGCTATAACTTCACGCTATGGCCAGGGCGTGCTTTCTGAGACTCCTAGCACTCCTCCACTGCTCCCATGTTGAGAGTTCCCCCTCACCCCCCTGCTGGACATCAGCCTCATCCTGACAGCACCACTGGATGGGCTGCTTACCAGACCCTCTGTCTCGCTGGCTACCCTCTGGAAGTGCGTGGCCAGCACCATGTAGTCTCTCATCTGCTTGTGGCACTCGGGACACTTGGTTCCATACCGGATGAGCCGCACGGGGTCTGGGTAGAGGGGCAAGGCCGGGACTGGAGGGGCAGCGCTGCCCGAGGAGGAGCCTGGCTTGGGGGAGGCCGGGGCGGTGGCGGTGTTCAGGGGGGCGGGCACGAACATCTGGTCGGCAGCGATGGGCTTGACCAGCAGCTGCGAGCACTGCATGACGAGGCCCCTGCCCTTGTGGTCGCGGGCGTGCCGGAGCAGGCTGCACTTGTTGAAGAAGAGCAGCGTCTTGGAGCAGAGTGTGCACAGCACCTCGATGTGGACGCTGCGCCGGGCGTAGTGCAGGCCCAGGCTCTTCTCTAAGGCGAAGGCGTCCCCGCACTCGAGGCAGCAGTAGCCGCTGGCCGGCACGTGGATCCTGCTGTCTGCGGGCGGGCTGAGGTTTGGCGCGTAGAGGGGCACGGGGTTGGAGCTGTGGAGCACCTTGTTGAAGACCTCCACAATCAGGGGCGCGGCCTTCCGCACCTGGTGGACCAGGGGCACGGACATGTGGGGGGGCTGCGGCTGGCCCCGCCCCTGGGCGGAGGACTTGGCTGTCACGGAGGCAGCCACGCTGTGGGGAACCAGGTTCAGGTTGGCCAGGTGCACGGCCTTGGGCAGGAGGTGGGCCGGGGCCGTGGGCTGCAGGGCGGTGCTCTGCTGCGTCTTGCCTGCCTGCGGGCCAGGGACTGCCCCCTTAGGGACCTGAGGCCCAGAGCTCTCATCCCCTTCACTGTCCCCCCGGGGGTTCCCTGAACTCGTGCCTGCCTCCGGCGGCCCCTCCACAGGCTGGGGGAGGCCCTCATCCCCAGGCACCTTGCTAGAAGCCTCCGCAGGGGCACCCCCCACAGGGGACCCAGCGGGGGACTTGCTCAGGTCATCTGGATCGGGCAAGACCCTGGTGACAGTCCGTTTGATTTCCCCCGAGGACGTCTTGATGGTCTTGATCCTGACTTTGGGGATGGCAGGCGGGGAGCCCCGGCTGCTGCTGTCGGAGCAGGTGCTGCGGGGGCTGGCACTGCGCGGGCTGTCCAATGGCTTCACGCTCTTCCTCGTGGCCTCCAGAGGGCTCCGGGGACTCTTTGGTGACTTGGGCACTTTGGGGGCCTCTCTGGCAGGCCCCGGGGGGTCCTGTGCGTGGCCAGGGTGGTCCTCCCTGGCGACGCCGGCCACCCGCTTCGCCTGCAGGGCCACCAGGGCAGCCACGCAGGAGGACAGCTTGGAGTGCGCGGGCTTAAGGCGCTGCCGGGGGGGCGCGGAGGCGCAGGCACTGAGCGCGGGGGCCCGCCGCGCAGGGAGCCCTTCAATACTGCTGGGGCCGCCGAACCCCAAGGCTTCCCCAAGAAACTGGCCAGAAGCCAGCTCCTTGTGAGGCTCCGCGGCCTTCTGCACCCCCTGCCCTGGCTCCTGCCGGCCATCCAAGGGCAGGGGCTCCGGCTTCAGCTCTCTCTTACAAAAGTGGTCGAACATGTGCAGCTCTGGCACTGGAAACTTAGCCAGAGCCTCGAGGACCGGGCCCCCCACGGCTCCGCACCCAGGGGGTGGGGGGAAGTAACTGTCGGCTCCGTGCTTGGACTTGATCACAAAGCCATGCTCTTTGATGGGGTCCTCGGGCTCTGGGCTGGAGATGGGGCTGAACTGGCTGAAGGTTGGCAGCGGCTCTGACTTGGGAAGCTCCAGCTTGCCAGGGAAGCTCCGGGCGCTATCTCCATTCACAAAAGGGGAGTCGAACTTCCCGCCGGGGTGGGGCTCCGGGGGTGGCGCTGGGCCCCGGAACCCATTGGGCAGGAGGCTGGGTGCCATGTGGTCTTTCTCCGCTTCTAGTGACTCCTGGCGGCTGGTATTCTTGACGATGACACTCACGGCTGGTGCGTCCGGCGCGGCCCCTGCGTGCGACAAGGCCGCACTGTCATCCGCGCACAGGCCCACGGGCTTCAGGGGGCCCTCCCTCTCCTCGCCGGGGGTCTGGATGGCCTCCTTGGCGTCCAGGCTGGTGGGGTCCGGGATGTCGAAGGCAGCCAGAAGGTCATCAAAGTCGGGAGTTTTCATGTCCCCCATGTCTGGATGCTGGCTAGGGCTAGGAAAGAAGGGGACAATGTGAGTGACCCCAGAGCACAGATCCACGGCCACCACGCCCATGCCCACCAGCCATGTGGAACCCCTCACGCGGGCATCTCCCTGGGCGCCCATGCTGCAGGGAAGAGAGGAGAGGAGCAGCTATGCACAGTGACAAGCCCGCTGCCAGCTCTTACAGCCTCTTGGAAGGGCAGCGCGGGCTGGCTTCTGGGCCAGGAGCGAGGGCGCCCCTCCCGCACGCTACGTTCAGGGGCGTCAGGGCGTGGGTGCCGTGCAGTGGCGGTGCGCGCCAGAAGCCTCCTTCTTAGAAAGCTGACTCAGACACGCGCGTGCTCTTCTCATCCCCGAGCACCAGGCCGCAACAGCAGAGCTGATCCAAAATACAACAGAAGCGAAAGGGACCTGGCTCAAGGGGCGGAGTGCCTGCCTAGCAAGCGCAAGGCCCAGAGATCCAGCTTCAGTGCCAATGTGAGTAAATCAATAAAAATGGCACTAGAAAAACAGAACAAAAATGGCACGAACTCTTCCTCCCTGCAGGACACTTCTGATTCTCACAGGAGACCTGACTTTACACCACACCCAGGTATCCACACCCAGGTATCTTTTTCTCTACTCAGCAAGTGCACGCTTGATTCCCTAACTTGGGCTGTTTAAAGGACAGAGCTCTCTGGCTTTCTGCGTCTGAAGTGAGAGCAAATTTCACCTACAGGAGAGGTAGTGGAGCCCCTAGGGGCAAAGACAACTCCAGACTGGCAAGTTGGTATGACAAGGCCCTTTCTTCAGAGAAATTTCTTTTTTTTTTTTTGGTCAGTCATGGGGCTTGAACTCTGGGCCTGGGCGCTGTCCCTCAGCTCTTCAGCTCAAGGCTAGCACTCTACCACTTGAGCTACAGCACCACTTCCGGTTTTCTAGCAGTTTATTTGAGATGAGTCTCACGAACTTTCCTGCCTGGGCTGGCTTTGAACCGCGATCCTCAGATCTCAGCCTCCTGAGTAGCTAGGATTACTGGCATGAGCCACCAGCACCCAGCCCTTCAGAGAAGTTTCTATTCAGGAAAGATCTAGAAGCTTTTTAAAGGGTTACTACCAGTTCCCATTGTTTGTTAAGAGGGTCTCTGAATTCATCTAGGAAACTTTAGCAAATATTGAAGTGAGCACATAAGCGGGGCATGAGGAACAAATATGATCTTAATTTTGGAAGGGGGTCACCAGGCCTACTAGAAGTGAGAGGAAAGAAACAGGACTTCTGGTTATAGTAGAACTAGTAAGCAGAATTTCCACTGCCAAAACTGCACCCCCAAAAGACTCAGCAACTACATTTCGTAGGACTTGAGTGGCGGTATGTGCACTGTCTCTGTGCGCACATGAACGTCTAGGTGGTGTCACTACAGAGAACTAGGAACAGTGAGGTTCTTAACCAGGCAAGTGTGTCCCCGGTACTGAGGCTTGAGCTCAGGGCCTCACGCTCTTACTCAGATCTTTTGTTCACAACTTGTGCTCTACTACCTGAAACACACCTCTACTTCTGCTTTTTGCTGGTTAATTGAAGAGAAGGGTCTCAGGAATTTGTATGCCTGAGTTGGTTTCAAACCACAATGCTCAGATGTCAGCCTCCTGAGAAGCTAGGATGACAGCTAGGATGACAGGTGTGAGCCACCAGCGCCCGGCCATGAAAAAGAGTCACATACTCAAAATCACTCAGAGGAATAAAGCTGAGCTGTAAGCTTTATGAAGAGGCTTATCTGTCATTCGTCACTACCTTCCCCATTAGGTACTCAATGAATATTTGTGGAAGCAATAAAATAAAACCTTCATGTTTGCAAAAGGCATTAAAGCTGTTCCAAAGTGAGGTTGGAAATTAAAACACAAGTTCTTAAGAGTCTGTACAAACAGGGAAATTACGGCAAATGACCACCAGTGAAAGCAACTGTGAAGGAACATTTAGGGAGAAGTAATTCTAATTATACTTTAAAAATAACATGTTCTAAGCTAGCCGTTCAATAAGCCAGGCTGGTTTCACTCCAAAAGGCCCCAAAGACATCGAAGCAAACTCAGGCTTGCGGTCCTGCCCTCACTTAAGACCCACTGTGCCGGGGCTGCATGGTTTCACTTCCTCGAACCTAGCAAAGACATCCCCAAAGCACACGCTGCCCTAAGAAACGAGACTGAGGTCCTAAGCAGGGCGAGGTGTTCCTGGGCACATGCTCATCCAAGGGGGCCTCAGGTACTGCATGCCCGCACTCACAGAGCTCTGCTCACCGTACCCAAGAGGAGGAGCAACCAGGTACCTGGTAGGGCAAGTGGATGGTAAAATGTGGACGTCTGAATAAATGGAATATTATTGGCCTTAAAAGGGAAGGGTGGGGCTGAGCGCCCGTGGCTTGCACCTATCATTGTAGCTCCCTGAGAAGCTGAGATCTGAGGACTGCAGCCCGGAGCCAGCCCAGGCAAGAAAGTATGAGAATCTTATTTCCACTTAATTAGCAAAAAGCTGGAAGTAGAAGCTCAGAGAAGACTCGGGCGCTAAGTTCACACCCCAGGACAAGCACCCACGTGCATGCGCGTGCATGTACACACACACACACACACACACACACACACACACACACAAAGGGAAGGGGGCTGGGGATATAGCTCAGTGGTAGAGCCTTTGCCTAGCATGTGTGAAGCCCAGGTTCAAGCTACCTATCCCCCCCAAAAGGAAATCTGACATGTAACACACTGCACGGAAGAGCCTTGAAAACATTATACTACGTGACACAGCATCACAAGTCAGACTCAAAAGACAAAAATTGAATGGCTCCACTTGTGACCCTCTAAGAGAAAGCAAATCCATTGTCAGAAAGTGGAGAGGCAGCTGCCAGGGCTGTGGGAAGACTGGACAGGGTTTCAGGGAGTGAGGAACAGGTTCTGAAATGGGTGGCGGGGAGAGCAAAGAGACCAATGGCACATGGTCTCCCTGATATGTGGATGCTAAAGCCAAAATGCAAGATTAAACAGGCCTCAAGAAACAAAGGACAGCCACCCACTTTGGCATATCATTGCTAAATGACTCCCTGGTCTTGACCATATAAATGGTAGATATATGCACGCAATGGAAGGACGCCAGAAGGAGGAACAGAATAAGTGGGAAACAGAACAACACACAACAAACAAAGGGGCCCGTCAGCTGCACTGGACATAGAAGAAAAAGAACTAAGCAACACAAAGACAGCGATGGGAAGGGAGGAATGAGAGGGAAGAGGGAACAGCCCACACTAGGCAAAGGAAAGAAATGTAATCATCACCTGATGTGGGAGAAATAATTTGTATTGTCAAAGCTCATAGAATTCACAAACCTTATAGGCCATGATAATACAATTTGCCTTGTGAAGGTTAAAATGTGTTTGTGACTTTAACTAAGTATCATTATTCCACAATACTGTGAAACATGTGAAATTTATGTAATCACCTAATCTCAATTTAAAGAAAAAGAGAAGGGATGGGTTGGAGGGATGGTGACAATGTTGTCAGACACCCTGTTCTCATACACTGTTTTGTAGAATGGGAGCTTCTTTGTACAACTACTTAAAGATATAATTTTAAAATTTAAAAAAAAAAAAAAAGAAAGCAGGGGCTGGCAAGGTGGCTCAGTGGTAGAGCGCTGGCCTTGCATGCCTGAGGCCCTGGGTTCAATTCCTCAGCACCACATAAGCAGAAAAAAAGAAAAGAAAGCGAGGCTGCAGGGAGGGCTGCAGCCGCCAACGTGCTCAGGGCCAAGGAGCCACCCATTTAGGGAGTGACTAGCAGTGCTGCATTCATTTACCACAGAACCAAAGAAAACCCCAGGACCGGAGAAGCATTTGTAGGGGAGGCCAGTCAGCCTGGCTCCATACCTCGGGCGGCTCTCAGAGCAAGGGCGTGGCGAGAGGCCCCAGGAGTGGGAGGGGGACTAGGCACCAGGTCTGGAGTCCACACACCACCTGTGGAGAGAAGAAAACAAATGCTGCTTAAGCAAACCTACAGGTAAGTGTCAACGCCTGGAAAGGGAGTCTAAGAAAACTTAATCTCTAGCTCTCTAGCGTGGTGCCTGACAATTCCCGCACCAGCAGGGAGCCGAACGCAGCCCAGCAGGCGTTTCTGTGCTGCCCTGGTTTACCCAGCAGCCAGAACTGGGTCTCTTGCGCCCTGTCTCCCCTTGATGGATACTTACTGTCTGGTGGTGAGCTACTAGGAGTGTGGCCTCGGCTGGGGCTCTCTGGGATGGAGCTGCAAGGCCTCTGGCCCCAGGGACTGGAGGGCAGGGGTGGAATGCAGGCATAAGACTCACCCTGGCAGGCGGGGCTGCTCTTCTGCGAGCAGGGCACAGGCAGGTCAGGAGGCCGCGGGACATGAGGCTGGGGTGCGGCTCGGCGCTAGAGTGGGCGGGCATGTGCCAGGCCTGGGCTCCGCCCCCAGGGCCACCAAAACAGAAGGGCTCTGGGAGCGTCACTATGCTCTTCTCCCAAGTGGACACTCAGTCCATCCTGGGTGTTAGCAAATGTTCCCTAGAGGAAACCCTGGCACCTCAGACTAGACAGTAACCACGGCCCACGGAAGAAAAGCCTCCTTAAGACGTTTCAGGTCTGGAAGCAAACCGTTTCCTAATTGCTTACAGCGGGTAAAGGCCTGAGGGCAAAGTTCATCTCACAACTGTCAAGTTCACCGAGCACCAGCTAGGGCTGGGCCAGAACAGGCTTTTCAGAACTGACCTAAGATTAGAGATCCCTGTTGGCCCAGGTGCACAAGAGCTCTGCAGGACTTTCAACACCAATGGAGCTCTGGTGAGGAGTGGTGGACTCAAGGTGATCTCAGCACCAGGGAAGCTGAAGCCGGAGGATGCAGGGCAGCTGGATCACAGACAGACAACCCAGTCTCAAGACAACAGCAAGATTCTAATTAGAAAACAGTGGTACTAGCCGGGCGCTGGTGGCTCATGCCTGTAATCCTAGCTACTCAGGAGGCTGAGATCTGAGGATCGCGGTTCAAAGCCAGCCCGGGCAGGAGAGACCGTGAGACTCCTATCTCCAATAAACCACCAGAAAACCGGAAGTGGCGCTGTAGCTCAAGTGGTAGAGCGCTCGCCTTGAGCTGAAGAGCTGAGGGACAGCGCCCAGGCCCAGAGTTCAAGCCCCACGGCCGACAAAAAAAAAAAAGAAAACAGTGGTACTCAGTAGGCACTAAGTTGAGAATGAACTATAACTTTGAGAGGGACGGGAGGGAAAAAACTGGGAGAGAGCAAGGGAAGGAGTGACTGTCCAGAAAGAAATGTTCCCACTACCCCACTTATGAAGTGGTAACTGTACATCTCCTTTATAACTTAAAAGGGGGAGAGGGGGGTGGGAAGGCGGCTCGGTGGTAGAGTAGCCTGCCTAGCATGCATGAAGCCCTGGGTTCAGTTCCTCAGTACCATATACACAAAACAAGCCAGATGTGGCGCTGTGGCTCAAGTGGTAGAGTGCTAGTCTTGAGCAAAAGAAGCTCGGGGACAGCGCGCAGGTCCTGAGTTCAAGCCCCAGGATTGACCCAAAAAAAAAAAAAGCAAGTGAAAAAACAGGTTATGCTGGACGCCTGTGGCTCATGCCTGTAATCGTAGCTACTCAGGAGGCTGAGATCTGAGGATCGCTGTTGAAAGCCAGCCCCGGCAGGAAAGACTGTGAGACTCCTATCTCCAATAAACCACCAGAAAACAGGAAGTGGCGCTGTGGCTCAAGTGGTAGAGCGCTTGCCTGGAGCTGAAGAGCTAAGGGACAGTGCCCAGGCCCAGAGTTCAAGCCGCATGACTGGCCAAAAAATAAAAACAGGTTATGAGAGATGAAGTGATTTTTTTCCTAAGTCATACGAAATGGAAAGTTGTTTTTGCTGCTTGTAAGACACAGACTTTTTATTGATTGATTGATTGATTGATTGCCAGTCCTGGTGCTTGATGAACTTGGGGCCTGGGCACTGTCCCTGGGCTTATTTTGTTCAAGGTTAGCACTGTACCATTTGAGCCACAGCACCATTCTGGCCTTTTCTGTGTATGCAGTACTGAGGAATGGAACCCAGGGCTTCATGCATGCTAGGCGATCACTCTACCGCTGAGCTACATTCTCAGCCCTTATTATTTTTAACTGACAAAATTATATTTATGTACACTTCTGTGTATCATGTAAAAAATATATACATGTATGTATGTGCAGTATTCATCACACATTTACTATCTTTAAGGACCTGAGACTCACAGCCTAAATGAAGTATTAGTGACATAGCTTTTACCACCTTAGCCAGTTCACTTCAGGACAAAAGGCCTAACAAAGCAAGACAGAAATGGGGGTCCCTCCTCTGCAAGTCCCAAAGCTCTGCCTAGCTGTGTTTCTGGACCCCAGAGCGCCTGGCCTGCCGCAGGCTGAAAGGACGTGCGGAGGCCTCAGGCGGGTGTCTCTGCCCCGGGCTGCGGCAATGCTCTCAGCTGCAGACGGGGAGCTGCCAAGCGTGCGCGGAGCCACACTGGCTCTGGCTCCGGCGTGCCCAGGACAGTGTGGAGAAAAGGTCCTGCCGTCAAGGATGGGAGGCCCTGAGCCCCCCAGGGGTGCAGGGGAGGCTGGCATGTGGTCTCAGGTTTTAGCACCAAGCCTTTGGGCGTGGCTCACTCGGCTGCTGGAAGATGAGTGCTTTCTTTAGGAGCATTTCTAAAATTAAAAAAAAAAAGCACCTAACTCAGGCAGGCAGGATGGCCTGCGTTATGACCCCAGGCTCGAGAGGCTGAGGCAGGAGGGGCTAGAGCCTGAAGCCAGCCTGGGCAATACAAGAGCGGCTCTGAGAACCCACCAACCAAGCCATGAAGCAGCCACCCAACCAAACTGTGCACACCCTCAGCACCACAGCTGCACGCTGGTTGGAGGAGCTGCCTAACACCCCTGGGAAGGGGGGGTAGGGGTGGGAGTGGGGGGCGGGGCTGGGCCGCACAGAGGGCTCCTCTTCTAACAGTGACCAGCTCCAGCATCATGCCCGGTTTTGAAGGACACAGTTCTGTACAGTCTGGCTTTTTGCTTTAGGACCTTCAATGTTTGTCTCCATACTGACTGAAACATAAAAAAGCCTTTACAACATTAAAATGGTAGGAGAAAGCAAAAAGAACCAAGTAAAATCCTCACGGACCCCATAACTCAGAGGAGAGCCGATCTTACTGAGAACCCGGCCCTGGAGCCAGCCTGTCTATTCTGTTAGACCTGATCGACCACTCCTGCGGCCTCAGCCTGAGCTGTGGGATGTACTTTTGTTTTTGCCAGTCCTGAGTCTTGAACTCAGGGCCTGGGCACTGTCTCTGAACTTCTTTTGCTCAAAGCTAGCGCTCTACCCCTTGAGCCACAGCACCACTTCTGGCTTTTTCTGTTTATGTGGTGCTGAGGAATCAAACCCAGGGCTTTATGCATGTGAGGCAAGCACTCTACCACTGAGCCACCTTCCCAGCCCCACCATTTAATTTACCTCTTGATAGGCCACTTTCAACATCGGAAATGGAGATGGTAGGAACTTAAAGACAACTCTAACTTGGTGGCACCAAACTTGGATCCATAGAATGTGTGCGAGATGACATGTCAGCACACATTCCCCTGCCATCAAAAACAAGCTTCTCGAATGTGGCCAGCTCCTGTCCAGGTGTGGACATCACACCTGTCTGCAGAGCTCCCATGCGAGGGCTCAGACCAGACACCCACACACGGCACAGCAGGACCTCACAGCACTCCTATTCAGGAAGTTCATTTGTTAAAAAAGAAAGAAACAAACATAAATAAAATAGTTAAAGCCAGTGTTTGCGTAGGAGATAAAGGTCTAACACAAACACCAGGAGGGCTGGGGCTCCCGGTGATGCACCTGGGGGTGGCCCTCAGGCCACAAACAACAACATAACACAAGATGCCGGGAGTAGCTGTAGGCGCAGGATTTATTAGTGAGTTTGGTTTCCTCTGTATATCATCCACATTTCCTAGGTTTTCTACCTGCATACATATCTCCCCTGTGTATCTTTAGAGTTTTAAAACGAATAACCAGCAACCGGGTCCATTCATTTTCACTGAAGGCTCTGCTCCTCCCAGGGCTCAGAAGCAGGAAGCAGCAGTACGGAGTGTGCGCAAAGCTCCTGGGGCCAGCAGGGACACTCGCTTGCTCCAGGATCAGGCAGGGGACATGAATTACTTTAGTTTTTGTTTCCAAACAGAATGGAAGTAAAGACTAAATCAGGGGGCTGGGAAGGTGGCTCAGTGGTAGAGCCTTTGCCTTGCATGCTCGAGGCCCTGGGTTCGATTCCTCAGCACCACATAAGCAAAAAGAAAAAAGTCGGAAGTGACGCTGTGACTCAAGTGGTAGAGTGCTGGCCTTGAGCTGAAGAGCTGAGGGACAGCGCCCAGGCCCAGAGTTCAAGCCCCACTACCAGACCCCCCCCACACACAAAAAAAAGACTAAATCAATCTTCCTTCAAATGCAACTGCAAGACCCCTCCAATCTCCATACTTCATAGATCTCAGCTCCTAGACAACTTGCAACACATCTGCTTTTTTTTTTTTGGTCAGTTGTGGTGCTTGAACTCTGGGCTTGGGCGCTGTCCCTCAGCTCTTCAGCTCAAGGCGAGCGCTCTACCACTTGAGCTACAGCGCCACTTCCAGTTTTCTGGTTGCTTATTAGAGATAAGAGTCTCACGGACTTTCCTGCCCGGGCTGGCTTTGAACCGTGATCCTCAGATCTCAGCCTCCTGAGTAGCTAGGATTACAGGTGTGAGCCACCGGCACCCGGCTAATGCAGCTGCTTTGCCACAGCCCAGACACCAAACTACCCATGCCCCACGGCCTGCACAGCCTTCCACAATACTTCCTTCTTAGTAAAGCTATGTCCTCGGGCTGGGAAGGTGGCTCAGTGGTAGAGTGCTTGCCTTGCATGCATGAGGCCCTGGTTCGATTCCTCAGTACCACATAAGCAAAAAGAAAAAAAGCCGGAAGTGGTGCTGAGGCTCAAGTGGTAGAGCACTAACCTTGAGCTAAACAGCTGAGGGACAGCGCCCAGGCCCAGAGTTCAGGCCCCATGACCAGAGCTTCCCCCCCACCCCCCCCCCCCCCGCCAAAAAAAAAAAAAAGCTCTGCCCTCTTCTTTAAACTCACAAGCTAAAGATCCCACCTAGCAGATGGAGAATCACCTTTCCCATCCATCAATACTGTTAGTGACTACGTTGAAGGGTTGCTAGAGAAAA